AACTACAAAGGTCAAATTAACATAGGAAATAATTAACTTTTTGGAGGTAAAATTAAATTACCCAATCGAATAGACGTACGACGAATTAATGGGTTAATAAGATACATCCCGCTCCTAGATGTTGACGGACCAAGGCGAGCTGGGCCACAGTCGACGCGAAATGTAGCCTAATTATAAATTTCTTCATATCTTGAAAAAAAAAATGTTCATGAAAAGAATATATTTACATAACCTTAGTCATCGATTGAGATACATTGAATTTTAATGAATAATTGTCCTAACTAGTTTCTTCCCAATGGTGTTAGATACACTATAATGGCCTGTTGGTTGGGCTCTCGGGGCTCGTGTTCTTATTTCTGTTTTAATTTATGAAAAATCACTTTTCCAGTGAGGCAGAACAGAAAGAGTGATCATATCAATCGTCTGTCTTTGAGTTTAATGACTGATTCGTTGTTTTTGTTTTTTTTACGGTTTCCTACCCAAAGGGTAAAACGGGACTCTATTGCTATATATATATATTGACTGCGCCGTCGGTCTGTCTGTCCGTCTGTCACCAGGCTGTCTCTCTCGTGAACCGTCACAGTAAGGCAGTTTAAATTTTCACAAATGATGTTTTTCTGTTGCCGCTATAACAACAAAGAGTAAAAAACAAAATAAAAAAATATCTAAGTAGGGCTCCCATACAACTTTGTTTTGCCGTTTTTATAGATACTGTGACCCTTCATGCGCGAGTCCGGCTCGCACTTGGCCCGTTTTTTTTTTTTACAATTTTTAAATTTAGTAAGAAGGTGGCAATCTAGCGGTTCATTCATGAGTCGCCCCGGTTCGTTAAATCGGTTGCTTAGCTCGCCAGATGGAATGCAATCAAAGAATGAATCAAACGGGCCGCGTGTGGCGACCGTGGGTTTCCCCGAATTAACAGTTCCGTTCACGCAACAAAGTTAGGGAATAATACACGCTAAAAGATAATAATAAAATAACTACTTTTGTGGCCACTTAAGTTATTTAGGAAAAATTGTGTTTTGAATTGAAACAAAAGTTGCAATGTAAACTGGAAGTTGACTATTGTGCGTATATACCTAGTATAACTTTATAATTATTTTTTAAAATCAGTGTACAGCCTTCTAAAGAAATAACGTTCAATTACCTTGTCACAATATTTTTTTTAATTTTTAATTATGTTTTTTTTTACATTGCCTTTACTTTGGGATAATATTATCCTGTGTTGTAAGGACGATATTACAAACATAAATTTGACGCGGACAAACACCCAGATGATGCGATGCCACGGAGTGATCATATTTTATAACGAAATATTAACTGTAGATAATTACGCAACCGTTTACACACATTGACAGAAACTTGGATAATAATAAAATAACTACTTTTGTGGCCACTTAAGTTATTTAGGAAAAATTGTGTTTTGAATTGAAACAAAAGTTGCAATGTAAACTGGAAGTTGACTATTGTGCGTATATACCTAGTATAACTTTATAATTATTTTTTAAAATCAGTGTACAGCCTTCTAAAGAAATAACGTTCAATTACCTTGTCACAATATTTTTTTTAATTTTTAATTATGTTTTTTTTTACATTGCCTTTACTTTGGGATAATATTATCCTGTGTTGTAAGGACGATATTACAAACATAAATTTGACGCGGACAAACACCCAGATGCGATGCCACGGAGTGATCATATTTTATAACGAAATATTAACTGTAGATAATTACGCAACCGTTTACACACATTGACAGAAACTTGGCACATATAATGAGTTACAAATTTAGGTAGCTTCTGTGTTATGATGAAACACTCAAAATACTTTGTGAAACAATATCAGTGCATAACTACTATTATCTAAAAGAACTCTTTTTGCTTACAAATAAAAGAACCCTTTTCTAAATTGTGGAGAATAAATAAGAAGCTCGATAAAACTATATAAAGTGTTAATGTATCCAAACATATTATTGGAAAGGAAAAGAATATCAGTAAGGGACAATACCCGCCAGCGATGTACACAAGTTCAAATTTGGACAAACAATCGAACAAGACCAGAAACCGAATAAAACATTACAGAAATCGCCAGTGAATTGTAATGGCAAATAAAAAGATTCCATCGAGCTCCGACAATGGAACGCTTACGACAGCGTGCGTTTGCGCCAAGAGGGAAAGAGAAAGACAAAGAGAAGAGGGGGACACGATCGTCGATGTTACCAGTTGCCCGTTTCGAATCTTGCCAACGCCGATGCAATATCATACCACTGGACGGACCATTGAAAATAATCAGTCTAGATCCACTTTCTGAGAACCAACGAGATTCGATAGCAATAGACAATACAGCAGAGCATTTGCCTGCTAAGAAGTTCGCGCAAATTAACATATCGGTACAATTATAGCAAGAATAAACCCAAAAGACAACCGTTTGATATTCAAAGCTAAACCAATAGGACGAAACATCGACAGTAAAAGAAAAGACCAGACATAAGCATTGTAAGCGGTCTCTGAATACTGGCAATCACAACCGAATAACAGTGACCGCGACATTTCACGATTGGAAAGCAGTTTGACTCGAATGACCTTACTTGATGTTTGCAGCCGCGATCAGAATGGGTCAAAGGTTTATATAGTATTCAGTCATTAGTAAGTGTATTCAATGCTACATAAAACATCAATTGTAGATATTAAACTATCAGTTAACCAGCATTAACAGAGAAAAAAATATATGTTGCTTGATGGTTGTTGTGCAGAACAACTTCAAGAGCCAGGTATCCAAGGGTATCAATTATTACCCAAAAACACTGCCAAACTATGTAATTTGTCCTCGCCATCCATACAGATTATACCTATAACACTGGACAATGATCCCTTCTCCTAGCAGCTAAAACAGAGCCAGACAACATTCTCATATTGTCAGACATCTGATGAGCCTTATGAGAAATGTGTAAAGATTGCTTGGCATAAGTTTTTCATCAAATATTCAGAGCAACATATCAGTATTTGTGGTAATATAACCATTAAATATATAATCACTAGATTATATTAATTTATACATCAATATTTAAAAGATAATTAGGTATTATAAATTAATTGTTTGGTCATAAAGTGATATTCATAGATGGGAGTAAGTCTTTTAAATTTAAATGAAGAGAGAAAAAAAATTACTAGTCCTTCCTAACTACACAAAATGCTATCTACTTGAGTGACTGATTTATCAAGACTGATGTGACTCTATTGTGAAAGCTTTGTAATATTAATAATTAAAAAACATATACACTCATAAACAAACATATGTAAATTTTTAAGGTTATATTTTTACAAAAACAACAAATTTTCTACCGTTCAAAATCTTTTGTTTTTTTATTGCACATTTTCTTTACTGAAATTCACAATACTTTATATTTATATAAGGAAATACTGATATGTAAAATAACAAATAACTTCCTGTAATATAGTGTATTAACTTCTGACTGCCTATAGTAAATCATTTAACTTTTTATTCGTAAAATAGTATCTATATAATAACTCTAGACCCAAAAGTAATTTTTATTATAAGTTAAGATAATTTTGATCATGACTTATTCGCTTTTCATGCCAAACGTATGACTAGTGTAGTGAACTGGATTCCAATAAGTTAATTTGTTATGGCAATCATACGGTGATGTAAACATACGGATGTTATTTATAAGGCAAATTCAATACATATTCTCATTTCTCATCTTACAAACATAACTAACACATATAACCACAACACAAATGGCACGAAATATTCAACCTTTAACGAAACGCTTAAATAATGTCAATAGAAATAGAAACTAACACGAAGCGAGTCGGCGTCTGATATCTTGGTATAGAAAGGTGGCGATAGATCAGTTTGGTGTTGTCCAGTAATTTTCCACTAAACAGTTTTACGACATAGACATTAAATTTTATTGTTTAACTTTCTCACCTTCTAAAAACAAATTTATGTTCGTTTGATGCCACTAGCATGCTGGAGAAACACGAAAGCGGACAAAGGGTCCTTCAAAACACAGCCATTTTGAAACCGTTCATATAAATGTTACGTGTGACACGAGCGTATTTAGTTTTATGGATCGAAAAAAGAATTAAGTTATCCGTTTGCACTCATTTTGGATTTTCAACACTATAAAAACTAACACTAAACATTTCACACACTATTAGGTACGATTTCACTTCATACTTTCGCACACACCCGTACACGTCGCACTATCCGTCGAACGTAGGCGACGAACTCGAACGAATGCAGCTGCAAAACACGAGACGGCGCAATACGTGTATTGCCATATTTTAACATTGAATTTCTACCAATAGTTAAAAATACTACCAAAGTTGTTCCAAGAATAAAATTGTATACTACTAATACCATGCATTTTATATGATTTTATGCATAAAATTTCATAATTTATTGAAAATAGAAAAATAGATGATGCAAAATGGCGAAAAATCTTCTAATCATCATATGTCACACAAGTGTTTTAAATGTGAGAAATTCTACGTGTGGCAGCACTATTACCGAAGACAAGATCTTTTGTTTCTTTTTTACAACCTGATTGTAATATTTTGTATTTTTTAATCGATAGTTTTTAAACTTATTAATAATATTTTTTTAATCACCTCACGTGTATAAATACACGTTAGCTGAATTTAAAATTAATATTTTATTAATTTCATATAGTGTCAATGGATCTGAAACTCAAAGAGCGCGATATTTAATTACGTTGCTATGCAACGCAATAATAACCCAACCCAAAAAGCACAGTAGCATTCTGACGATTTTAATAGTTGGTTGCTTTGACAATTTATATTTACACTATTTGGTTGTGTATAAGATATTTTTATGATAATTGACAAAATGATATTATTGATGCAATATGCATTTAACTATTTTGTAAATGTCAAATCTAAAATTGTAGTAAAATTAATGGTAAGCAGACTAAAACTTGTTTGCTTTGTTTAAGAACAGTATATGTAAATAACGCAATGATAATCTTAAATATTCTAATTTTAAATGCGTTTGTTGCAACTTGGAACGTGTTAGCAAATGAATTTGACAGCGAAGACAGTAAGTTGTTTTTTTTTTCTTTATAATTATATAGTGATAAAAATGTTCTTTTTATAATTATTTAAAAAATAAAAGAATAAAAGGCCTTGACTAGTGCTTCTTATTTGTAAATTGAGAATAGTCGATTAAATTATCTATGACCCGATTAATTTCGTTTAACATAGGCTTGTCATGTCGTTTTTTGGTGTTTTGAAAATATTATGTTCATTTTTATGGCTGTAAAAGAATGTTACTAAACATGTAGGTTTGATACATCTAACATATCTACATTATCATATTTTATCTAATACATTTATATAAAACAGAACCCGTTTTTATTTAAAATTAAAGACGAGAAGAAGTTCAACTTTATTAGTTGAGAGAAAGTAGTCGGAAATCAAAGCTATAAAGACATTAGAATTAATAATTTAAAGCAAATGTATTTTACAAAACTGCAACGGATTATTTATTGATACTTAAAGTATGTAGGTACCGACTTTTAGATACTATACCTATCTGTATATAATTTCCTTAAATTTTTATTTTTTCATGTATTGTTTCATATTCTCGTAAATTTAAAACGACTTCATTATTCTCATTTTAGCGAGTATCTTAACCGTGGAATTTAATTTGAGCGCATCATCTATATTTGTCAAAAGTCAAAGGGGAGAATGTCATGGTAGACTGCGTTTGCGCAGTTGCCGGTGTGTCCAGACCATAAATCCGCTTTACCGCCTAGTACAAAACAAGATGGCGCATATAGGGTCGGACATTTTCAGGGCTGTCAGTATGATGTTCAATGTATGCAGTAGGTTATTATTAATTTGTCGATTCAAAACTAACATTACCTCAACTTTTATTCACTAACATTACCTCAACTTCATATATATTTCAATTTTTTAAAATAAATTAAGGATTATATACTTAGGATTTAAGACTTTTGAGTCCCTACAGGACCTACAAAAATAAAATATGCAGCAAATAGATATGGTATTGTGAAGCGATAGTGAGTCGTTATTGTACCGAAGACGTACAGATAAGCCACCCCATCAGGCTGATATTGCGGTTTGCTTACTCCAAATACATTTTGACTATAAACTACATAACGTAACAAAAACGTCCAAGTTTGCAAGAATCGCAAAAAGTGAACATTTTTTAATTTATTTTCTCTGGACTTGAGACCCTACATTCACACCGAGTAAATATCTAAATACCAATTATTTCAGAAAATATTAACTATTACAAAGGCACAGCCCTAATTGCTTACAAAATTACGTTGCTTTTAAATGGCTTTTTATCCAATTGTCCACCGCACCAAAACCTGGTTTCGGACAGGATGTGCTCTACAATTGGTCCACAAACACAAACTTACCGTTTAATAGCCAGTTTTTATCTGTGTCAGATTGTCCACAGATTAATGACAGAGGAATAATGGTATGTTGACCTCGTTACATAGCACGTTCGTTTTGATAAGAGGATAATTTTCTTTTTTTGTAAACTAATTTTAAAAAAACATATAAAAAGACGTAAATTTATGAAAATATGATGGTAGAATGTTGTTTATACTAGGCAAAATTTATGTTTCTCTATAATACCCCTAAAAAAATCTATTTCTTTGTTAATAACGGCCCTCCGGTAGCGACGGTCTAACAAAATACCGTTGAAGAAAGCAGATAGTATAGTGAGAAGCTTAACCAAGCAGTGGGATAAGTAAGGCTGTGATTTATAACGATGAACACGGTGTATAAACAAAAATCATGCCCCTATTAAAAAAAAATATTTTTAGGAATTCGTGGATATAACGAAATTGTACTAAGTTTGTAAATAAAAACAAAAGTTTACGTAGTATTAGGGACGTTCGTAAAACGTTTTATGTTTCTTTTACGTCTGCCAGTGGCAACGAAACGAAGAAAATATATTTTTACAGTTGCAGTAGTCCCGTCTAGTTTACGGCGAATCGCTAGAGACTTTACTGCGTTTACTTTTATGTCGGATACAGAGGTTGGTACGGGGTGGTTCCGAACATTGGCGCGCCACGAAATATCGTTGTGAGGGGTTCGATTTATTCATCTATTCTGCTTTATATAATGTTAACTTTATTTATCCTTGTTATATCAACATCACTACTTGAATTATGAAATAATTTAAAAAAGAAATATTTACCACGTTCGTAGTCATTTTGTTTTAAACCTTAACAATTATTTTATGCTCGCAAGTAAGCAAAGTTGCTAATATCTTTATCAGAAGCCTTTTTACAGAGGAATGCTTATAATATAAATGATAAGTTTACTTGAATAGCTCAATGTTCAGTTCTCCATTTTCAGTATTTCCAAAAAATTTAGTAACAATTTTCAAATTATATCAACTTTGAGACATGTATAGGTATAGGTTACTACTTCGTTATATTTAATATTGACAACTCGGTTAAGTTGAAGAGCAAGTGTAATCGGCATCGTTAAACCGCTGGGAATTCATTACGGTCTCTTCATTCATCCAAAATCCGCGCCATTTCAGAATTTACTCAGAATTATAGGTACTGTAGGGCAATAAACTGTGGAAGTCGCTTATTCGAAAGATCACGCGAACCTCACCCCGAAATGTTTGTTGTCTTGTCAACCGGTCGCAACAACCCCAATTCGTTATGTTCGCAAACTGCGCCCTAATTCTGAAATAATGGCCGAGTTAAACAATGATATTATACATATTCGAGGTACGGTATTATATTAAAATATCATTGGAGGTAAATCATTGACGAAAGATGCTCACAGCATAAAATTAGAAGGCAACAATTTATGACTTGATTCAATAATTTATGACTTGATGTTCTATTTTTGATAAGTGAAAACTTCTATGCCTCGTTAGGCAATTTTGGCACATTCTCACACCGATCGATGGTCTTCCCCGAACGGACCTGCCCACTCGTGCAACGCGAAGACATTGCGTGGCCCTAACACAGCTCTATTTATTTAATTTGTCTATTTGGTTAATAAACGTATAAGAGACTTTCGAAGGTCACCCCTATTTAGGCAATGGTTTTTGAACCGTTATCGTGAATTGCTATTCACATTTTCTTTAGACAAAGGAACATGTCCCGTTCGAGCGATCTTGTCAATATTTAAACCTCGCTATGGTATTTGTATTTAACTGGAGTTTAGTCAACCTAAACTTAAACCGCTTCCAGTGTACATGCTCGTGTCACCGGACCAGCATACGCGCACTCCTCGCCTGGAGGACTTCTTCTGGACGGGCTCTGGGGACGGGCCCCCACCCCCCGACCTTGCTGCCCCTGCCCCCTCACCCTCGAAACCGATCGTACACACCACCACCGTCCTGGCTACTGTCTACCTTGACTCGTACCCACCGCAGGTTGGTACTTTGTGTGAAATACACGCCTAAGATACTGGCATATGAACAGATTTGTGTCGTTATATTATGTGGATCATAAAAATGCCATTAGGTTATGACACTGAAAAAGACTGTGGTATATTGTGATGTTTTTTAAATAATTTTGATGTGATATAAATAGGTTTTACAGGTCTTTTTAACAATTTTTTCACTTAAAAAAGCAAAATTTATTTTTATTGTTGTTCTAGCAACAATGTAACAATAAGATATGAATGTGAATGGAAAAACAAATCGATTTTTTCGTTTCACTCGTTGATGTCTTTTTACAGTTTCTGTCTCTCTAATGTTATGATTAATCAGTCTCTATAATAGCTGTTCTCTATCTCACGAACGCAACATAATAATAACAATGCTTCTAACTCTTAATATAATATAGTACTTTTAGGAAAAAATAGAACCTCTTTTTAAACTTTGTCTCTCTAGATTTTTCCATCTAAAAACTGATCTAGACATTTTTTTATTTGTAATTTTTAAATGAGAAATTGTTATTTTAAAATGAAAAATTATTAATTAGAAATGAAAAATTGTTAAAATGACCTGAAAAATGCTTTTAGCTGTTTAACTTAGATATTAGTTTAATAAAAAAAAAGGATGTCCCTACAGTGTGTCTCTATCTCACGAAGGCAGCATAACAATAAAAATGTTTCTAACTCTTCAATTAATATAGTACTTGTAGGAAAAAAAAGGTCTTATTACAGTTTGTAGGTGATAGAGATGACTGATCTAACCGTTTTTTTTTTTATTTATTATTTTGAAATTAAAAAATTGTTAAAATAACCTGAAAAGCCTGTAAATTTTAAATTAATATACAAGAAAGCTTCAACCAGCTATAAAGCATTCATGTAAGATTTTTCAATTGTGTTATTGTGATTTTTTAAGCATACAATTTTAATAATAATGTCTGAATGAATTAAAATTGTAATGAATTAAAATTGTCGAGATATATTTTCCACGCTGTCAGTCTTCTGAGTAACACGTCCAGACACTAGCCTACTAAGCAAAGCAGCTGAAATGCTCACGATGCTCAGTGCGAGTGTATATATTAATCCAGTTTAATTTTGCATTTTTGGAAAAGCGAATAATCCTTATAATATAGACTTAAATATTGCAGTTATTCTGTACGAAACATTCTACACAAAATCGAAAGTTGGTCTTATATACTCGGAATAGGGCAAATATGTTTATAAAATACATCAGCAGTATATTGCAGGCGGTGACGGACAAGACGACGGGCGACTGTTTAATGAATTGCGGTGAAGTCGGCATTCCCGACAGCCTAGAGCCTGAGATACCGGAAGACAGACGGTACTGGCTGCTAACGGTTATCCAAGGCTCCACGCCAGACAGTCTGCAGCTAAGGCTGGCTAGGCTGTATCAGAAAGCGTTCTTAAGGTCAGTAAATAGTTACACGTTTAGCGAACTTGGCAGTAAACAATGTAGTGTGAACTGGCTCTACTCATTTAGTAGGACATACAATTAAGGTTATTTTAAGCATTTGAAAATATTCAGTTTTATTGATAGAACCTCAATTGTACACACATATCTCTTGAAGAAATTTTGAAAACAGGGTCTAACCATTCAAGACCCTCTTCCAACTTAATTGCATTTTCATCCAATAATCTTACAGATGTGACAATGTTAACTCAATGAAATCGGTAGGAATAATATTTTTTTAAATAAAATAAACATGAAATTTATATTATTGATTTGAATTTACTAATCTTTGACACTTTTATCGTTATATCATACCGATCATCCCGTTACAGGCAACAGGAGCGGCATCTCGGGATAGTAAAATCTTTAGACGCGCCGACTCCAAGAAAGAAACACGACGTGCACTCTTTCGTCGTTAACAAAGACACCAATTTGAATCAAGTCGAATCGACTTCGCAAATGCCCGTGGAACATAACGATATACACAACTCTTTGCTCAACGTCAGCAATGTTATTTATAGTAGCGTTACAACTCACTTGGTTAGTTCTCCACCTTCTAATTTGCCAGTAAACTTTAGCCAAGTCTACCCGGAGAATCTGGACGCGTCAGCAAATGAACAGAATTTTTCTAAGGGCTACGCAGCGATCGTACCGACAAAGTTGAGCGATAACGACCTCTGGGTACTTGTGACGCCAACAGTGATTCTTAAAAAGAGGGACGCGTCCTCGATGGAAGTGGAAAAAGAAGCAGCGGACCTCATCGATATCCCATTGGAAGAAGACGCGAGTGATGAAAGCTCGCTATCCAAGCGGGAGATACTGAGGCCGGAGCAACAGCCGCCAGTGCGCGTCCACATTCAGAACATTACCGAGGTAAGAAGTCATTGAAACTTTATACGAACACCTTATTAAAAGTTTACTGCTTACACACTTAAAGCAACTTTTAGTAATAAACAATGTCTAAAATTCACTATACTTGTGTGTAAATCATATGAGACGAACGACTAAAACAATTATAATATTCGATTAATGCGAGCTAACATTCGTTTATTGAAACTCTAATTTCGATGTTGGCTTCTTTAGCAGTGACACTTTATGACAACGTTGATACGGCAATGTTTCATCCAGAGTATCATATACTTCATCACTCAAACTGAACATAACTAACAAACCGAACACAACTGACTTAAACTACAGAATCGTTTTTAAATCAGTCAGTTTAAAGTTGTAGTTTGTACCACGTCGTAATCATGGACTCGAATTCGGATCACACCAGCGAAGATCATCAGTATGAAACTCTAAACATTACGGAATTTTTGTTCTGCGCCAGTCTTCTGAGACTGGCAGCGTGGAGATAGTGTACGTGGTGCTAGTGGGGGGCCGCGCGGTACCGGCAGCAGTTGCGGCGCGAGACATGCGCCTTGTGAGAGACGCGGAGGTGGCGCGGGAGCTGGGCGCCCCCGTCACCACTAAGGCTGAGCGTAAGTCAATAGCAGATGGGGCAATATCAAAAGAGCAGTCAGCTCAAAGTCCGGGCGTTCGCCTTTAATTCAATACACTCGAGCAACCCGAGTTCGATCCCCGGTGCCGGCACCGATGAAATTGTTAATTGATGTGAAATTTTTAATGCGACTTCCAACAAGGTTTGCGTTAAACGTTTAACGTTACCATGGAGCGGGTATGAAAGGACTGTTGCGTTAAAGTTAAACGTTCAACGCTCCTGGGGAGGGGAATAGAAAGAGACAGAGCGAGAGTGAATGCGTGGCACTCGAAGTTTCACTTATTCCGCGCGGAGGGACGCCACGCGATTATTTAAATGCTGAATTATCACGTACTCAGCGGTGAAGGAAAATATCGAGAGGAAACCTGCATATTTTCGAAATAATAACAAAAAAAATATTCCGAAGATATGTGAAGTCCGCCGATCCGCAGTGGGGCCGCGTGGTCGACTGTGCCCTGATACCCTTTGTACAGAGGCCTTTGCCCGGCAGTGGGACATGTATAGGCTGATACTTTACAATATGCTTCACCAAAACTTTCGGTGCTTGTACCACCAGCTCACATAAAAAAGAATGGAAGACCAGAGACCTTATCACTCCGTAATCGCGTGATCTTGGTTCCCTTGAGAATTTGTTTGCATCGCGTGCCTGCCAGCAGCGTACCTGAAGGCGGCCGCTGGGCTCGAAGGCGGCGCGACTGCGACCAGCCCGAGCACAGAGCTGTGGGCGCTTGGAATCGCCTCGGCGGCCGCGGTTCTCATTATCCTGGTGCTACTTCTACTGCTCTGTCTCGCTCACAGGTAGAGATATGAGAAACTTGTGCCTTCTTCGATTGAACATAAGAAGGGAACTTGATTGGCATAAATGTTACTTTCCGTTATTGCATGTCTTTATTTGTTTATTAACGATCTGTACTATAGTGTTCCGCGATAGCTCAGTGTGCGGGCTCGCTTTTAATACCCTACCATACCCTATGTTCAGGGGAAGTCTTGGCTAAGCTGTGGGACATAACAGGCCGTTACTCTTTTTACTTTTACGAACAATACTAGGCAACTAAGCATAGTAGAAACACAATTGCTACACTACTTAAAATGTAGAACAACAACAAGAACAACACTACAAAGTTTATTTGAGTAAGAACTACCACACTACTTATCGAAGCAAAGGCACAAGTATCATAGAACTTGTTTAAACATCATTTGTAATTTTGTTTTGTTTATTTATAAAGACGGCAGACATGCACTGACGCCAATTAAGAAGGGAAAAGTCGAAGCTTTTGAGCGAAAGCACTAACAGGCAACTTGTTTTGCAGACGAAAAACGAAGAAATCGGCGGCATCGTTGCGAGCGTACAGAAACGAGCTCATGCGCGAGGTAGAGCGCAGCCAGATGAAGCAGGTCCACGAAGAGAGAGACGGCAGGGTGGGTCCTGCACAGCTTTATATACAAATACAACACTTTACTAAAACAAAATGATAAATAAAAGAAGGGAACGGCTCGACGCACGCGTTTGTGTGTGTGTGATCTTCTCTATGATTCACTCTTTTTATAAGGGAAGGTAGACAATGGGCACCCGATAGTAAGTGATTATCTTGGCCCATAGTCGTCCACGACACCGAAATGAGATGGAGATTGATTTGCTGTCACTTCGATGTTACGAGTCCATTAGCTGTTCTCCTTTTATGTTAGACTTCATTAACATGTTCATGCCCATCAACAGCTCGTCTACAACTTCAGGAATATCGGAGGTGGCTGCTGCGTTGCGCACAAGACAGAAGAAAAGGCACGCCCTTAAAATGCCCCACAAGAAGAGGGGTGAGTGTTGAAATTTGAAAAAAATTGTTCCGTGGGTGAAAAAAATTGACTAGACTCGTGTGGTTTCATCATTCACCATTTTCGTTATCGTACTTGATCATACCGGGCTCCCATTAGGTTGAATAGAGACAAGACCAGAATGGAAACTAAACTTGGTTTTGGTTTGAATTGGTTAAACATTAAAATTTGTAGAAAAAGTACGAAAAGATTGTGCGCCGCTGTGAGAATCGAACCCACGTCTTGGGCATTCGCGGCTTGACGCTTTAGCCACTAAGCTAAACGGCTGATTGCCACACCGACGAATTTTTTTTATAGTGCTAATCTTTGCACTTAAGATTAAACATTAAAATTTGTAGAAAACCGGAAAAAATAGTTTGAATTGGTTTACATCCCTACTAATTATTATAAATGTGAATGTAAGCTTGTTTGTTATGCTTTCACGCCAAAACTTCTCAACCGATTAAGGTATTAAAAAGGACATAGGATTCTTTTTATTAAAAAAAATATATATATTTAAGGGCGTCAACGCGAGCGAAGCCGTGAGCACAGCTAGTATTAAATAAATAGTGACGTTTGACTGAGATGACACGACGCTTCCGTCGTTGCTTCTAGCATCCGGCTGTAGAATGACCTTAACCAAAGAACACGAAAATATTGCTCTTAGATGTCCTCAATGACATGTGAGATCGCCGTTACTCACTGCAGAAGGAAGTTATACATATTTTCCCATTAAATTACCTTGCAGTGGGTGCGAGTGACAGCCTGCTGGTATCTGCTGGCTTGGACAGTTCTGACAGCGCTCCACACACGCCCACATCACACCTCTCGATGCCTTCGCTGGCCGCCTTCCCCAGGTAATACTGATAGGCTTGTCCAAGGTAGACGCAGGTCGACTTATTTTTGTCTCCCTTTCCAGCATACACACATACACAAACACACACACACAAGCACACGCACGCACGCACACAAAAACACACCACACAACTCTAAGAATGATAAGCACTGTCTTTTTCCAGTGTATGTGTGTTAATATATGCGTGTGTATATTATCGTACTCCTAAAAGATTGGTCCACTTTTGATGAAAAAGATGTGTTCAGTGGATTCAAGAATGGTTTAGATTCACAAAATTTGTATTTATTTTACGTTCAAAAACCCACAATTTAAGACGTGTATAGGAAAACGTTCTATTCCGTTATATAAACGCTTATTTCCATCGATCGCCAGAGGGAACGCGGTGGAGCCGCTCTCGCGGATCCTAGAGCCGGTGTCGGTTAGGCACCTGGACGTGGAAACGCCGCCGCCCACGCCCAAAGCCCACGCCCACGCCCAGCGGGGGGAGGGCGCGCCCAGACGGCAGATGGCGTCGCAGCTCGTCAGGCTGGGCAGCATCGACAAGGACCCCGGCGTGATCGGACCCCTGGTCTGGGACCTACACTGCCAGAGAATCAAAAGCGGTGAGAGAGAAAGCGCGATTCTTTTATATGTGAAGATGGCAAGCGAGCTGACTGTGCACCTGATGTTAAGTGATAACCGCCACCCTTGCACATTTGCAACACCCGTATGATTGCATATTTATATTTTATTTATTTATTTAGTAACAGCCTATACATGTCCCACTGTTGGGCAAAGGCCTCCTCTATACAGAGGGTATCAGGGCATAGTCCACCACGCGGCCCCACTGCGCATTGGCGGACTTCACATATCTTCGAAATATTTAATTTTATTGTTATTATTTCGAAAATATGCAGGTTTCCTCACGATGATTTCCTTCACCGCGGAGCACGTGATAAGTCAGCACTTAAAGTTAAAAACTTCATTGGTGCCGGCACCGGGGATCGAAATCAGGTTGCTCGAGTATATTGAATTAAAGGCGAGCGCCCGGACACTGAGCTATCACGGCTCCTATTTATTTATTTCTATAATAATATCAGTACAGATCATTTATATCTAATTAATGTTAGTTACACTAAGGAAAAGACAATGAGTACACTGTGGCTCCCAAACTAGGCAGTGCCTGTATCTTGGGAGCCGGAGTGCGCTTCATATAAAAACATAAAATGAAATTATATGGACGGTACTTTAGGTAAGTTATATTAATATTTTAAAAATGAATGGTTGTAATAATAAAAAATAATAAAAAAAATATGCGTTGCCACCTTTTAATAAAGTGGGCCCCGGTTAACTCACTCACCTATAACTGTTATAGTTATAGGTGAGTGAGGTAACCAGTGTAACAAACACTTCACGCCGGTCTTTTGTGAGCTCGTGGTACTTACCCGGACGGACCTGCCCATTCGTGCAACAGAGAAGACACTGTTGCGCGGCCCTACCACAGCTAATTTCATTTACGTCCGGTTTCAATATTCCATCTACAGATTGATTTGTTTACTGGAGATAGAATTTTGACGTGAGTATTATGGAGCTATTGTCAAATACCTATCACTAATACCCAAATCTATTTGTAGATATAATATTGAAACCGGCCGCATTTTTTTTTTATTTTTTCATAACACGGTCCTTAGTTTAGGATAACATTATCCTGTGTCGTAAGGGCGTTTTACAAACATAAATCTACGACAAATACCCCGATGCGAGACGACTATCTGTGGGTCGCACAAATTGTCGTCCCGTGTGGGGATCGAACCCGCGACCCCGACGCCGAAGCCAATACCTTGGCGGCTGCGCCACGAGTCATCACCACTCGTCACTCAACAGCTCCGAGGCAACAGAGCCCTCGGTGGAAGGGGCAGAAGGAGGGCGCTTCCCGCATGAGGCAGCGCTTCAACGAGCTGATGGATGACGCGTTCACGCTGTTCGGGAGCGCTTCCAGCGGCTCGCAGGGGCGCGCACTAGGCGGCGGAGGGGCCGGGGAGGGGGAGAGCGGTAAGCGGGGGCGCTTGCGCCGGCGAACTATCACCAAGCTGTAACTGTGGTAGGGCCACGCAGCGGCCTCGGCTGTTGCACGAATGGGCAGGCTCGTCCGGGTAAGTACCACGACCTCGCAGAAGACCGGCGTAAAGTGGAAGTATAATACTTTCGCGTTTCGTCTGGTGAGTGAGCCCAATTTTGCAAAAGGTTGTCAACGCATCTGGAACCCTCAGGTGTGGCAGATGTCCATGGGCGGCGGTATTCACTTAACATCAGGTGAACCATCTGCTCCTTTGGCAGCTTTTCAAATAAAAAAAGATCAACATTTCGGGTAAAATTTCCGAGTCAAAGTTCGAGGGCGTGATTACTCGTTTTTCTGTAAACTGTGTAACTTGTCTAAATGAAGTATTAAAAGGAAAACAATTAACGGCTCCAGCTACGGAACGCGTTACGGAAGCGCGGAACGATAGCGTTCGGGCGCCAACCGTCTCGGCGGCGCCGCCCACGTTGGCCACTTTGCCCACGGCACGGCCGATGCCCACGCCACGCACGTCGCCCACGCCGCGAGGGCTCTCTGCCGGTGCCAGGTGAGATTTGACGTAGTATTGGCTTTCTACTATTCAAATAGGGGGAAGGCATCTTTTGGTCTTCCAATAGGAAAGATTGTTCTATTGACCTGAAGTGCTCGTTGCTCATGGTCAGGGGAAATAATTTACTGTTTGTGAATGGACCTTGGACGCTAAGCAGTAAAAGTGTGTAATATTTTATTGTAACATGAATCATTGTCGAATCGAAAACCGTAAATTGTGCAACAGAATTAAGGAGAAACTATCCGACAAATAGGAAGCAATTCAACAAATCAAATTTGTTAATTTAAATAAGTAGTTTAGCGAACAGTGACAGACATTAAATCATCGATTTGCGCTTTCTAAATTGCTTTTATACATCTATTTCTGCTTCTGTTTTTGCACCTTTTATAACGGAAATTAAAACGGAAATACCCTATTACTTTAGTTAATTTAGAACCCCGAAGAAGGGCGGCCAAAATACCTTTCATAAAATTTAATTTAACGCTATCTAACTTTCAATATCAAACGTTAATTTAATAAATAAAAAAATGGAGTATTTTCTCATAGTGTAAACAGTTCTGTTTCCGCGTCCCTTTCTGTTTCAGTTTCCGCGTCCGTTTCTGTTTCCGCATAGATCATATTGCCACGTCTATTTCTGTTTCTGTTTCCGCTACCGTTCACTTCTGTTGCGTGACTTGTTCACTACTTACATCATCTGTGACGTTCGCCGTTAGCTCGAGCGTTCGCCCGCAAAGGCGTGGCGAAGCCGTTGGCACGTCTGACGGTCGGCCGCGCACTACGCAGACGCATGTGGGCGAGCGGCGCGCCCCGCCCCAACGCGCTTGGCCGGCATCTCCTGCACGGGTGACGTCACCATCTCCCTCCATCTCCCTCCATCTCCCACCTTCTTCCACCATTGCCTTCCTCGCATCTTTCACAGTAGTGCCACTAGCCGTGATAGCTCAGTGCGAATGTGCCCGTCCCGGGGAGCTACCACGATGTCACAGAAGACTAATTGAAATGAAGACCTTTTTAGGGTTCCGTACCCAAAGGGTAAAACGGGTAAAAAATAACTATTACTGAGGCTCCGCTGTCTGTCTGTCTGTCTGTCCGTCTATCAAAAGGCTGTATCTCACGAACCGTGATGGTTAGACGGTTGAAATTTTCACAGATGATGTATTTCTGTTGCCCCTATAACAGCAAACACTAAAATACAGAATAAAAAAAATATTTAAGTGGGCCCTCGTTGTGTATGTGAAAAGTTGCCAAGCGGACATCAGCTACAACCAACCCACTCACCAGACAAAACATGAAATTATTATACTTCCACCTCACGCCGGTCTGCTATGAGGTCGTGGTACTTACCCGGACGAGCTTGTCCATTCGTCGTTTTTATACATAATGGTACGGAACCCTTCGTGTGCGAGTCCGACTTGCACTTCTCCGGTTTTTAATAGATAATGGCATGGAACCCTGCTTGCGCGATGCGCGTACCCATTGTGGTAAGATAATAAAGTATGTTATTGACCAATTTTAGTCAGCTAGCCTATTCGTTCTTTAGCTCTTTGCTCGAATCAGCTCGTCCGGGGAAGTACCACGGTGAACTACCGCGTTATTATCTGGTGAGGGAATCTTGGCCAAATTTTGCTTTTAACCGACTTTAAAAAAGAAGGTTTCTCAATTCGTCGTTAATGAACGGATTATGATAATTATTTTTTGTTGGATAGGACATATCCTAAAGATCCGTGATAAGGAAACCCAAAAGAAACTCACTTTTAATTACTTTTATACTCGGAACCTAGGCTGTAGAATTAAAAAAGGTTAAGTACCCAGAAATGTGTGCATTTTCGTATTGTATTTTTATACTGTGGGCGAGTCAACTTCTGCCACTACACTGTATGGGCTGGTTCGACCGGTGAAACTCCGCTTCCCGAAGACCAGTGTGAAATTGAAGAAGAGCGAGAGAGATACCTGTTTACATTTTTCTCTCTTTGTTGAAACTGTGCAGGCTAATGTTCTTAATTGTCATTTTCTTATCGTATATAAGCGCATGCCGCTGTTAAAGTGTGAACAAATGAATGTGTTGTAACGTACTGATTTCTTGTTTTAACGCGAACTTTATACGTATTAAATGAAACCATTTTACGGATCCTGTCGCGTTTTAATTTAGATTTTTGACGTTTCGAACTATACGTGACCATAAACCTAAAAGGGTTCGAAACGTTGGTAATAACAATCAAAATTAAATTTTATTATTATATTGATCAAAAAAAATTAGCGCGATAAAATCACTAAGTCAGTTTCATTCGCGGCCAGTTTCAATATTCAATCCAGAGATAGGTTTGGTTACTAGCTGTAGCCATTTGACATTGGCATGTATTTGAACGTGTGAACAGACTGCGCCGCCCGTTCATCCGGAGTTCATCCTCGCCCAGGGCAGACTGCCCCCGGACGACCCCGCGCTGCCCCTCATATCCGCCATCAAGGACGAGATCAAACGAGTCCGGGACAACGCCACCAAATCCCACACGTAGCCCGGAATATTACTCAACAACCGCTTCGCGCGTCGAGCTTTAATACCCGGTTGACTTTTACTTCGATTTTGGCTTATATTCAACGATAACTAATGCCCGGTTCCTATATGCAACGAACGGCCGTAGTCACATAGCTTCGTGACTTTCATAACGACCTGTAGATTAAAGGAACGCTAGTAACGCACTTTCCGTAGGTAATGCAACGGCTCGTAAGGAAAACGCCTCGTTTTGTTAATATAGGAACCGGGCGTACACGACTTTTATCCGCCGCCGTCTCGCCCATAGACATCCAAAACATTCGATGGTTTGCAGATTGCAGATGCATTGACAACCCTTACAAATGTAGGCCCTGTTTACCTCACTCCTCAAAAGAAACGCGAAGTTTTTAATAGTTTCACTTCACTCCGGTCTACTATGTAGAGCCAAAATAATACCAACTAATTTACCAATAGTGCGCGACTTTACAAATGTGAGCGAGACAGAAAGCGATTTAGACTGCGGTGCGAATGAGAGAACAATACTATTTCGCTCGGACAATTAGAGGCGCATTTTGCGCGCACTAAAAGCATGGTTTTAGTAAGTTATTATAGATACTTAAGCAGTATTGAGTGCGCCTTATTTTTGACACTAAATTCGGTGATATATGCCAATTTAACATTTCAGGTGCGGTATTTTTAGTAAGATTTCCGCTTACTTAGTAATAACACAAAACTGTCGTCGATTCTGAAGCCATAAAAGCCATATGTATCAATACATTTTTTTAGAGTTTCTCATAATTCGTTAGGAATCTGCTGTTTCTTACATGGTATATTTATCGGTATAATTGTAAACGCTATTCCCATGAGTCTGTAAGGTTGTCTTGAATGCACATAATAATAGAAACAGGTTTTTTATTTTTTGTATCAGTAATCCCCATAATGACTCATTCTCGATATAAGTGAGCTTACTCACTAGGTTAAGACGTTTTCTATTTTCTAAAGAAAACTTGTTCGAAATATGCAAGTTCAACGTGTCAAAATTTTAATATGTTTCAATATAACATATCTTTTAACACTTTACTCTTTTTCTAAGATTTTGTGAAGATGACGGACGCACAATGTGAATTGTGTATTATTTATTAGTGCAATATCATGTACCTATGTTATTAGAAATGTTTTCGTATTTTCAGGGATTTTGGAGTTATTTTATTGTTGAAATGTTTAATTGTTTGTTAACAGACTAAGTATTATTATGCATTTCACGTTTTAATTTGTTAGGAAAAATAATGGTAGCTGAATTACTTAGACGTTTTTCATAGTCAGTAATGTTGCGGTATAATGTTTGATGGGTACTCTTAACTGATATTAAGGTTTTTGGTGACAAATGTTTAATTATAAATAATATATTAAAACACATTTCACAATCAACCGTGAGTCTCAATAAAAAGAAAACAATAAAAATATATCGTGCGGTCGTTTTATTTTGTACTCTTCAATATAAAATCTTATGGTTCTAATTAATAATATTAATAGAAAATATACAGCAATATTTACATATATACAATTTTGGACATTTTAAATGTTCACCTTAAAAACATATATAAATTATCACACTTCTAAATAGAAATGAAATCAAACGGTCAAAACCAATTTAAAAATAAAATTATGTTACCATAAAGATACATAAAATCTATATAAATACGCAGCATCAATACAGCATGATTTTTAATATGTTTAACTCTACCATTATTACAAAATTTTGTAATAATCAGTTTTTCCAGATGTGTCCAACTCGCGGTCCGCGGTAAGTGATTTCCAACAAAAAATCTGACAAAATTATTGCCCCATATTAAGTTCAGTAGGTATATTTCCTTTATTATCAGCTCGAGTTATTTTTCTATATGTATAAGAAACACTTAAATTTAATGCGGCCCATGGAAACTAAGAAGTTGGACACGTCTGGATTGGAACAAAAATAATTAGTCACATAGTTTAAGTGAAAAACTCAATGTTACAATGACGCTGGTCTAAACTTAACAAATTCTATGAAACAATTCGAAAATAAATCCCTTAAATAACTTTATTAGAGCCAGGCAGTTGACTGGCAGACAGAAATATAGTTCTTCAGGACGATAGGCGATAGCTATTATAATTTTTTTTAATCTGTCCCATGCATTTTAATATCCGGGTGATTTAACCGTACATATAAATAATAAATAACACACTACACCAGTTTGTGGAATTATAACAATATTTAAACTTAATGAAAGGCGAAATATTTATTCTTCGACCGTGATGGTCTCTAAAAGCGGCCGCATCGTAAACCTTTGACCAACTTAACGATGAAAAAAAAACCGAAAGTATTTTTTTAAAACCCCGCAGACCAGACACACTTTGGAACAATAACGTTTGGTAACGCGAACCGATTTTCAATAGATTCTTCCAAATTCGCAAACAATGCAATAAGATATGCTAATTTGTTGTAAAGGAAGATAATTTGGAAGTGTTTGTATCTCACATTTCGTAAAATATTAACAGTGGGCGTTACACGGAATAATCTATGAATTGTTTCTGTTCTATAAATTGTTTTCATTTTAAAAATAATTGTCGGAACCGATTGGTTTCGATCGCACTAATAAACGTCGATCAGAATGTAACTAGCGATAAATTGTTTAAAACGTTTATTACTAAGTTAAGCTCTAACTTAGTAATAAGGGTAAGCAAGTTTAACATCTCAAAATATAAAGATGGTCAACGTCGAAGAGATGAAGACTCCCGTAACGATTAATTTAACGGAACCGTTTCACGAAACGGTTTACCGTCGCCCCAAACGGTTTCGTTGTGTCGAACTTCAAACCGTTAACGGCCCACTAACGCTCCTTGTTGTAAATACCGATATAAAATGCGAAAAAAATTCTAGCTGTATTAATACATCAACACAAAAACTATACCGGAAAACAAACGAAAGACATTTTACGGCAGTATTTGTTCCAATTTGTTATTAGTTTGATTAACAGATTCCTTTCTCAAATGATAAAGTTATTTTCGCGTGGTAAAATCACAACGTCTGCAGCACTGGATTACAATACGTGTCAGTCTTTCTTTAGTAGAAACGCTTGAAAAAAAAATTGCACTAAACCATTCGCACACCACTTCGCTGAACATTCTTTTATTGTCCACAACATTTAAACACCCGCTACTTCAGGCACTATACGGTGAGCGTCCATCGAAATAGAGGTGGAACATCACCTTTTACATGAAAATCCCCTCACACACAATCGACATTAAAACGTCACTTACTATTACTCGCACCACCGCGCCATCTGGTGTCGGCTTTTCGGCTTCGTCGAGCTGCGCGCCCCCTGCCCTGAGGGTTGCAAGACTCAACCCTGGTGGGGTGTGGAGGCCGCACCTACTCCTGGCCAGGGCGAGCTGGTGATGGGCTGGCGGTTGGGGGCGAGGGCGATTCGCCGTCGGGGGCCGGCTGCTAGGCGGGGTGGACCGGCTGCGGGGCGAGGCGGCGCCACTGGCTCGGCTGGTGCTCCTGGCCGGTTTCCTCCTCCTGAAAGCGTTTCACATTTTTCTCAGTTGGCAAACTAAGCTGTCCGTACATCTGATGTCAGCGATGACCGACGCCCATGGACATGTGCAACACATATGGTTGCACATGCGTCGCCACCTTTTAATATAATCGGCCCCGGCTACCTCAATCACCGGAAGAAGCGCAGAAGTATTATATTTCTACTTCGCGCTGGTCTTGTCAGGTCGCGATACTTACCCCTACGGACTTGTCCATTCGGGCAGCAGCCGAAGCTGTTGCGTAGCCCTACCACAGCATTTGAGATACCTATAAGCTTCGTAGTGAGTGAGATTGGAGGGAGATCGTAGGAAAGTGTGGATGGACTGTGATGGAGCAGCCGAAGGTCTCTTTAGAAGACAAATAAAATAACATAAATAATAACTTAAATCAAGTAACCAAAAAATAAAACAATCAAACTAAAATATACAGCGTGTCGTTACCATCGCGACAATAAATGAACACACGTCTAACGCTACTAGCCAATAATCATAAAAAAATATTAACGTTAAACAAAATCCATAATAAAACAATAATATTTTTAAAACTAACTAATTAAGTAAAAAAGAAACAAAATTTGTAACATCCTATACAACTCGCGCCACAGCGTCGCATTACAAGCCTCTCCTTCTAACAGTATGTTTTGTCTCTTCTAAATTCATTCAACCCATTCATCAATCTCCAAATCCAATGAACTTTACGTTACGCTTTTATAGGTAAGGGTGTTCTAAAATTCTTTGTTTTAGAAAATTAAATAACTGTGTAAATATTGATGTTTAAAGAATTTAAATGTTTAATACAACTTTAAAAAGTTATCCCCTATATATGTGTTCATTTATTGTCGCGATGGTAACGACACGCTGTATATGGTCAGGGAATTCGCGAAAGAAAGTGATGTTCAGTGACGCTCATAAAACCGATTACTGCTGTAATTCACATCACAAACTGGCTCATTTACCTAACAGCAGAGGCCTATGCGTACCTCTAACCGTGGAAAGGTTTCAAAACAAAATTTGATCGAATTGTTAGTATGTTGGAAAGTGAACTATTTTATAGTTGAATTAGTTCATCACCACCAATGAAATTTTCATTTAAAGTGCTGACTTATCACGTGCTCAGCGGCGAGGGAAACATCGTAAAGAATCCAGCTCGAAATTATAACAAGAAAGATATATTTAGAAGGTGTGTGAAGTCCGCCGATGCAATGGAGTCGGGTGGCGGACTACGAACCCTAATACCGTCTGCACTGAGGAGGTCTTTGCCCAGCAGTGGGACATACAGCGTGTCGTTACCATCGCGACAATAAATGAACACACATATAGGGGATAACTTTTAAATTGTATTATACATTTACATTCTTTAAACAGCAATATTTACAGAGTTATTAAATTTTCCAAAACAAAGAATTTTAGAACAATCTTACGTATAAAACTGTAACGTTAAGTTCATTTGTAAAGGTCACAAAGCATATGAATGGGTTGAATCAATTTAAAAGAGACAAAACATACTGTTAGAAGGAGAGGCTTGTAATGCGACGCTGTGGCGCGAGTTGTATAGGGGATGTTACAAATTTTGTTTCTTTTTTACTTAATTAGTTTGTTTGAAAAAAATTTTTTTTTAATTATGGATTTTGTTTAACATTAATATTTTTTTATGATTATTGGCATGTAGCGTTAGATGTGTGTTCATTTATTGTCGCGATGGTAACGACACGCTGTATATAGGCTGTTTCTTTACTTTTACTTGTTTTAATAACTTTAAATAATATCTTGTAACTCTTAACAGATCACACGATGGGCTTACTTGTATTATCGTGATGGATACTGTGTCTGGCTTGATGTCTTCAAGCAGCTTGTGGGTGTCGACGGTTTGCTCGGAATTCTCCATGTTTCTGTAATGACAAGTAACATTTTAACTCTAAAAATTATAGATAAATACATATATTGCGGCTTTAAGCAATTCATCGCTTCATTCTCAAACGTTTTATTGAACGCAATGAAACATTTGATATCCAATAGGAGGACATACATATAGCGTGTTGAATTGCATTTAAATTCTTTCAGCCGTTGCGGCGCGAAGAGTGAACATTCACACAAACTCTCAAAACATACAGCGCAGAGTTTTAAAAGTGATCCGCTTTACGTTATATGATATATAAGTACATATAAGTGAAGATATATATATATATATATATATATATATATATATATATATATATATATATATATATATATATATATATATATATATATATATATATATAAGTGAATTTGACAGATGATATAGAACACTAATATATGGAAAGAGATAACAGTCTACACTTTAGTTAGTAGACTCAACTTCGGTGCCCTAGTGCCATATCTTTGTATATGTCATTGGTGACGTCACCAAGTGAAGATCACGCATTTTATTAATAAACAAAATCGACAGGGCAAGACTCACTTTCTGCTACCGGAATGGAATCGACCACCCTCCCCCCGTATCCTATTCATTGCGTGCCTGTGCCTGGACTCGTGCAGGTATTTCTGAAAAACAAAGGAAATGTTTGTATTATTATAATCGAATTGAATTATGTAGATAAATCACAAAATACTTCAGATGTCCCCAGCGTCATCAATTCCAAAATCACCAGTGTCATCATTAATTTAAAATACGACTTTTAATTTCATCATCAAGTAAAAAAATCCATACGACTGTCGATTGAAGTACGTAATCACCGTTTTCAAAACGTCTACAAGGGACTTAAACACGTTCTTCAAAGTCTTCACGAGCGAGCGAATTTCAATGCATCCGTGAACATTATCAATACCGTCAGTCAACGGTTTCAATACATCCGTAAGAAACTTCAACACGTCCGTAAGAAACTTCAACACGTTCGCAAGAAACTTCAACACGTCCGTAAGATACTTCAAGAAACTTCAACACGTCCGTAAGCTACTTCAATGCGTTCCCAACGACTTCACTACGCCACCAGCTCCCACCATCCCCGTGGTTTCCACCCACCGGCCGCTCCTTGGGTATCTTGCCCAGCTCGTGCAGCCTGGCGCGCGCCGCCCTCCTCTTCAGTATGCGCTTGTACTGCCTCGCGTTGACGTACAACAGCGGCTCCTCGTCAGACGCCGCCCCGCTACCCGAGCAAGACTCGCCCCCGCCCCCGGAACCGTTCACCATCTGCGATACAGTGTAGTATCATGACACCATGACGTAGTTAAATAGCCTAAGGGGTTATATAATATGAAGAGGTTGTATTTTATAATGGCGGTCACTTAACATCGATCGGCTTATTCGGTGCAATCTATTTAAAAAAATATATATATACATATATATATATATATATATATATATATATATATTGATTTTTATTATACCGTGAAGACGATTTACTTTAATTTATTGACATACTCTGTGTTTTTCGTGTTATGTGTATTTTGGGGGTAGCCTCCAGAACTAATAAGACCTATTTGAATTCTTGTTATTTGTGAGATCACGTGTATTTTGAGAATAAATTCCAGAACTAGAAGGCTCATTTGAAAAATTCTTTCAGCATTTTGATGCAAGATATTGTACATTATTCAACATGAACCCAGGAAGATGTTTTGTGTTTCGTATATATATATTTTGGGGCTACCTCAACTGGAGGAATTGACGGAGAAAGGGCGGGTCGGTAATTTTTGGATAAATTAGGGCGAATCTTTTAATGAGATGGACAGATAAATACAAAAGTGTTATTTTTATATTAACTCACCATAACAATGTTGGTTGGATTGACGACCTGTTGCTGGGGCACCGTAGCGCCGCTGATCCCCGCCAGTTGCACCAGGTTGCCATTCAAGTTGATCACTGGCAGCATGGTTGGCAGTTGGGAAAATCGTACGGGACATAATAATACGCAGTTGCATCTCTATAGTTAGTTATCATGAATTTTCAGGGAAGTAGCAAGATCTCACAGAAGACCGGAGAGAAATTAAAACGATATACTTCTGCGTTGTCTCTGATCATTGGTGAATGAATAAACAGGGTCTCACTTTTTTAAAAGGTGACAACGCATGGGTAGCGGTTCTCACTTAGCATCAGATAAATCACCATCTCGTTTGCCAACACCTACACATAAAAAAGATTTCACTATGACATACTGTGTGGGTTTTTTTTGGTGTGGCAATCAGCCGTTTAACTAAGTGGTTAAAGCATCTGGCCGCGATTTCGGAAGACGCGGGTTCGATTCCCGAATTCCGTTTTAAATTACATCATTTTCTATGGAAGAGCGAGATCACCTGTCACAGGTATTTCTTCGTACTAGGTGCAGGCAGGTACTAGTACAGTAGGTACTAGACTAGGTAGGCACATTTTTGTAGACTCATGAATAGGGAGTCTTCTAAATCAATTAATTTCTGATTACGGAGAAGATAGTTGGGGATCACACCGGTCGTTGAGAGAAATATAGGAATTGCAAAAACGTATTGCACTTATCCCTTTTGCAGCAGATCAGGTCAACTCACCGGTGGGCTGGTGAAGGATCTGGTGCTGGTCGATTGCGGGCTGGGTGTTAGCGTTGGGCTGGTAGATGAAGGTCTGGCCGTCCGCAGTCTGCACAAGCTGCATCGGCTGCACGTTGCCACTGCCACCTAAGCAGTTGCAAGAGGAACTTGGCCATGAGACAGTTGCAAAGTTCGCATCTTAGATTTAAATGTCAAAAATTTTACCTATATCTATGAAATTTTCCATCTTAACGATATTAAATATGCGACAATAATAAAATTGAACTGTAATCTATTCGAAATAATTACTAAAATTTATGTGAAATCTACTATTATAGTGTGCACTATTATAGTGTTTATACACTGGAACAACTGGAACACAAAGATTATTCTTTGACCCTATTGAGTAGGCAGAGATACCGAATACTACTTCACGTTGCACAAAGGTAACGCGTCACTTTGCCAGTAACCACGAGTGTCTACGGGAAAGAAATCCGAAGAGCTTGCTGGTGCAGACCACTGGTGACTTGAATGATAATAGCAAGGCGAACATCGATACAATTTTACATAGGGCTAATAAATAACATAAAACTTGACCACCTTAACTTGTAACGCATGCCAGGCATTATAAAGTTTCAACTTTACTAAAATTCGAGAAAACTAGATTCAGCATACTCGCAGAACCAAATTTCATATCCCGGTACTTACTTGTACCAGATGGTGCTTACACCAATGGTATTGTTTATCACAAGTGCCGAGTGCCTGTACCTATACGGCGTGAAGTAGAACATCGGAAGGAAATCTCTATATCGAATTAATAGTGATAAAAAAATTTTGAAAATGTATGCCTTGACCCTAAAGTGACCGTATAATATGTAGATCTTACATTAATTAAAGAAACATCATATCCATAAGTCTTTTAACAATACTCCACTATTAACTTATGCTAGACGCAAGTATCCAGCACCTACGGACAAAGCCAGAGTATGGTAATAAGCTTGATTAATTACCTTGTAAACTGGATAATGGCAACACTTGCAACTGTTGCAACTGTTGACCGTTAGGGGTTGCCACCTGGAACGGGGTAAAGGAAGGTTAAAACTAATACATAATATCCCATCCGCTACCGACACCAAACACACTCGCTAAATCTATGACGGAGTTAGTTAACACAATATTTTCTATGTCCTATATAACACTTTGATTAGCGACAGAAAATGAATCTTGGACAAATAATCAAAGTGCAACTGATCAAGTAGAGTGATTTCTTATAATCACACGAAGGGATCTTGCGCATTTGAATAAAAATGGTATAATAATTTTACTTCACTTTATTCCCATTTTAAACTTCCGAACGTTTTCAATAAACATTTCTTTTTCAAGGAATGGATACGTCAGACGAAACGTTCGAAGTTTAAATGAAAAATGAAACTCCGTAAACCAATTTTAATAAAAAAAAAGTTAAAGGAAGTACATTTCAAAACTACAAACACGGCAACACTAATTACACAGATTATGTAACAGCCTTGCATTCGCTACACAATAACGTTTATCACTCCGATTTTTTTTGGCATACGTGAAAAACACTATTGTTGTTAATAAATTAATAATACTAAATTGGCACGTCATGTTAAATTTTCATCTAAATTGCTAATTTAACGCCCGGTTTCTGTAACACTGATCGTCGTAGAACCTAACTAACCAGCTGACAAATGGCTTTTTAAATGTTATTACGTTGCCAAAAGGATGGTTACTCTCTAAATTGATCAAAATGATATTCTTAATGATCAGAATGATCAGTTCAAAGAGTTTAAGTATCCTTTTGGCAACTCAAATGACATTTGACAGCGGATTAATTAACTTCTACGATAATCAGTGTTTCAGAAACCGGGCGCTAGTGTTAACTAAATAATAACGTAATCTTTATAAGATCGAACCATTTTATGTTTATATTTTTCTTAGAGAATTTTATTCAACATAAAAACTTTTAATTGTTTAAAAAAAACGTAATTTTTTTTTAAACGCTTTTTAAAGTTGTCGCCATTCGACGTAAATTCGAGAAATGTGCGTCTATTAATCTTTGGTATATTGAAATCTTTGTTTTTTTATGTAAACATTATACCACAAATACAGAAGTATTTTTATAATAAACGTGTACTTTCCCTACAATAGTCTTTTTACGGGCTCTAGTCTGAAAGCGAGGGAAAATCAGTAATATAGTTAACTAAAAATATGTCTTTGAGGCGTTTCTTTAAAGCTACGTATCTGCTGACATTACTAAAGCGCAGTTATTTTCGTTCGAACAAGCATCTTAAAAATTAAATTAGGTAAGTCGTCAATCATTAACAAATTTGAAAACCAAATGCATGCGATGAAATGTTTTCAATCATGCAAACAAAACAACTCAGCGTTAAATATTTTGTTCAACACCCAAGGTCACGAACGATATGACCTATTCAGTCAACTGCGCCACTTGTAATCATCTGATCATAACAAATATGACACGAAAAGCTCACGAAATATATAAATATATAACGAAAGCGGAAACCCTCAAAACATTCCACACAGTCTATTAAAATGATACTACCACCTGGATTTGAGGTCCTCCGATCTGAATGCATGTACAGATAATGTATACAAGATTATTTAAGGATAGTAGTCGTCTGTATCTTTTATATGTCATATTGGTACCATGGCATGCCTTAATGTTCGCTGGGAGATAAGGAATTTCTTGAAATCGTTAAGAATTTGTTTACATAATTAATGCTTATACCAGGGTGACACTGAAAGATTTTAGAACTGGCCAGTCAAAAACAGTCAAATGAAAAGTTCTTTTAAATATAGAACTCTTTGGTAGCTTGTTGCTTTATATTGAATTAATTTGTCCTTTTTTTTAAATGGCGGCAAGTCTTGTTACACCTCAAAATGAATTTAACGCGAGAAATTTTACGATCCATGATTTATTAAGACTTTCGTGTGGCCTTACTCAACAACAAAGCTATGATAGACTTTTGGCATTTAATAAGGATGCCCAATCCAAGAACTGTTTACATTTGTTTTAATGAGTTTAAGCAACCAATATTATACATATACAAATACGAGGTAGGTATGACACTAGCACACCGAAACTGAAATTACACCAATTGCTGTAATTCTATCTCTTTCCGGATCATACGTTCTATATCAGTGTCAGTGTCAAGTAGAAGGCAGCCAACCAAGAACCTTCCTTTCCTTTGCAAATAAATAATGACAGACGAATATTGAAATATAGAAATTGTCATTAAAATATCTGGCTTTTGGAAGGAAAACATGATTTTTATCCCTAAACATACAAGTGGCAGCTTTGAACGTATGAAATAAATAAAATTGTCTGTTTAAATTAACTAATATAAGAATAATTAATAGACCGATGCCATTCAAAAAGCAAAAAAAAATGAAATTTCTGAACAGACGTTCACTTTTCAATATCATTGAACAACGACTTCAGTTTCATTTGTGTTCAACTTGTGTAAAAAAATATGTTTTTTTCCATTTTCTAACTTTACTAATTGAATAAGCTGTTAGTGGCTTACGTTTACACGATAACATCGACTTTTAAGATTTTACAGTACGTCATAAAATTTCTCCAGTGGAAATAAATTTATAGAGAAATGCTATGACAACGTCAAGAGAGATTGTTCTCCAAACCTTTTATGAGGGTAAAAGGCTCGTTAGTCTGATAAGAAAAAAGATGGTGTTTGTTTTTGGACCTTGTCGATTTAATATAATGATATTATATACAAATACTAGGTAGATATGACACCAGCGCGGCGCACCGAAAATGAGGCACTCAAATTACGCAAATTGGTGCAATTAGATTGCAATTCTTTATAATGTTATCTGTTTCCGTATCATCATGTGTCGCATTCACTTATATAATTTATGTCATATGATAAAAAGGGGAGCAATTTTTAAAGGCCACGCGGTATGGATATGCGTCATCTATGTTATTAAACAAAATTATTGGGTTTCATTCTTATTATTTAATCGCTTAGTACAACGTTCACTGCAAACATGTACGGTTTGTTTGAATTTTTATAGTGCTTATCTCTGCACTTTAACACATGATATAGAATGAATGAACATTATTTTTTTTGCTTTAGAGCATATAGAAAAAAAATTATCAATAGACGCTCCATTGCTTAGAATGCGAAAAAACAATGTAGATAAAAGACCTTGAAATTTTCGTCGCTGTGGCAAACAGTCGTTTAGCTAAGTGGTTAAAGCGTCTGGGCGCGAATACGGAAGACGTGGGTTCGATTCCCGCAGCAGCGAAAGTTTTTCGTCCTTAACATTACAAATTTTAATGTAAGAAACGCTAATGACAATATGTGGTGTGACAAGATCGATGTTCAGTGGGGATGATTGGGGTCGAGTAATATGGAGAGTGAGATGCTATAATGACATATTTTTTACAAGTTCTTCTAATATTCAGTATGTGTTCATTCAAATAAAAATTAAAATAAACGGAATGTGTTATTTTAAAAAAAATCCATACGTGCCATAGAAAAGTCGTCGATGCAAGGATCGTGGATTCGATACCATCCGGAATTACTATATACGACTTGCAAGTCTGAGAAAGTTAGGGTTGCCAACCGTAACTTAATATACAGAATTTTACTGTATTACGGGGGTCTGCGTTTATTTCATTTGGAAGGATCAATGTCTTTGTAACAATTTACTTTTGTAAATAAAAAACGAGTATATTTGTGTACACTACTATCCATATAATTAATTATACATTGGCTAAAAATTATTTTTATCAAGTTTTATTTTGATTTTAAATTCCCAAGTTTACACCACCACTTACAGCGTTCATGGTCACGAGTCATGAACAGAAGAAATTATTAAGACATATTTTAAAAAATACTACATAAAGACAAAGTAATGTTGTCAACCCTAGAGCAAGTACTAGCGTTACTGTTTTGGGTAAGATCAGAGACCATTATAGAAATAAAAACAGCAATATAAGACAAAGAAGGAATTTGTTAGTATAAAAGCTGAAGTAAAAACTAAATGATCTGTAGATCTTACCTGTATGGCGGGCGTGGTAGACGGGATGGAGTGGACGACGATCTGCTGCCCATTGGGGCCCTGAATCATGTGGGGCTGGTTGCTCATCTGCAGCACCTGCATCTGCTGCCCGTTGATGGTCATCACCTGAGGGCCCTCAGAGTTCTGGATCTGGGCGTGCTCCATGGCGACTCACTGGAAGAACAGGTTTCTTTTAAGGCCTATCGAATGGTAACATTGAAATTTGCCCGTACCTACGAGTACGGACGGACGAACTTTCATTGGTAGATCACAATATTACATACAAATACGGGGCAAATATGACACCAGCGCTTTGAAATTGAGACACACAAATTACACCAATGGTGTAATTTGGTGTAATGAGATTACATTTTTATAGACTGCTATCTCTTTCCGTATCATACGGTCTATATCATCTGTCACATTCACTTACATATGTCATATAATGTAACGCGGAACAATTTTTAAACGCCGCACATCATAACTATTCATTAGCATGCGATTATATACAAATTTGCTTGATTTGTGCTGTTTTTTTATTACAGTTATTTTTAAGGGGATAATGAGGTAAGCGAGCTGGGTTTTCACCGGCTGTTAAGTGTTAACCGCCACCCACGGAATTTTGTAACACCCTTAGGTTTGCAGATGCGTTGCCACCTTTTAAAAAGTGGGCCCCGGCTACCTCACTCGAAACAAAGTAAAATTTTATCGTAATTTTTAGTGTCAAGGGAAACTTTCATTCATCGTGTTTAAGTCATATTCGGAGGTCAGCCGTGTCTCAGAGTCTTGTGGAATGGGCGGAAGGAGTGTATCTTTTAAAAGGCGATTAAGGATACATTGGGTTTGTTAGCGATTGGAATGGGAGTCTTGATCACTCAACGGCAATCTGGTGATGATGCAAACGACGTGGTCTCGTGTGTGCAAGAAATTATTTATTACGTTTAAAGAAAAAAAGCATTGAACACAAAGAGGTACATCCCGCGCCCGTACCAAAATAAAAATTTAAATTTGAATATCTAGGGCGACAACTCTTATTTTCAAAGAAATTATTAATTTTCCGAGAAAGTGGTTGCTGACGCCAAGAGTCACACTGGATGCCGCCAAGATGCAAAATGCAAATAAGACGTCGAGATTTTCGCGCGGTGAGTATGTCTACCGCTTAGCTTAGTGGCTACAGCGCCTGGTCGCGTTATTCGGTAGGCTCAGATTCGATCCTGGTAGCGGAGAATAAATTTTCCTCAATTTTATCTAAAAAAAAATTATATTATTTATTTAAGCCGTAGTAGATTAAAAACTACTCTAAAATACTACTGTTCTAAAAAGAACTTATACGTAAATAAGTTAAGGTAACGAATTGATAAGTAGCATCCAAAGTCGGAGGGAAACGTTTATTACCACTTGCTGGAATGATTATATTTATATCTGTATACCTGAAAAGGGGTTTACAATTTAAAAAAACAACATGACAATAAATTAATGTCTCAGTGTCCGTGCGTAATTCCTTGACGAAGTCATGACTCCGTGGCACAGTTGCAAAGCCAATGGCTTCGGCATCGGGGGTCATAGGTTCGATATCTACGAGACCACAGATATTTGTTCCGGATGTCGGTATTCATACCCAAAGAGGGTTGACGTCCGGTAGGCGGTCGGTTGTAAAAAATCCGGCCAAGTCGAGTCGGACTCACGCACAACGGGTTCCGTACTATTATCTATAAAAACTGCATTAAATTATGTCTGTTGTTAGGGAGCCCCACTTAATTTTTTTCTGTTTTTAGGGTTCCGTACCATATGAGATAAAAAAGGAACCCTTATAAAATCTCTCTCTTTTCCATCTTTCTGTAAAATCAAATACAAACTCCGATCAATAATATCGACTCAAGTATCCTTTACGAATGTTCAAAATTTTCTTACTATGGGTCAGATGTTAAGTCGCGAAAATGTGTAAAGAGAAAATAAAAATATGTTAAGAGTCCAGTCGGTAGAAGCTCATTCATTCATCGGCTCATTGTTAAATGAGAATGCCCGAAGTTTCTAACCCTTTCCATCGTTCACGGCCACGGGACGGACTGACTTGTTTCACGTACGAGTCAGCCCAGATCTTCTCAAGAGGAGCTTATGGTATCTTGAAGTCTTAGTAGTTGAATTTTATAAATTATGGGATCCCAAGCTATGACAACCCGGCAAGTTCTCAAGTCTAGATTCGGATTTGAAATGGCAAGTGACCAGTTCAGGCACTGGTATGGTAAATTGGTAAGAGATAAATCCAGGCCAAGTTTAATGACATTCATTAATATTTTAAAATCACCTACCACAACACACTAATTTACCTATTTTTTCCTGTAATAATTGCGAAAGGATCTTCAAAATAACAGTTTTGTAAGTATATCTGCGCAATTTACTAAAATGAAAAAGGTTCTGCAATACACGACACGTAAAGTCGCTTTTACAAAATTGAAATATATCTATTTTCGCAAATATATGGCTTTACCAACAAATAGATGTCTTCGTAATAATTTATGTAAAGAACAAATAAAGCTAATAATTAAATTCAGCCCATTTTGAATGTCATAACATATTTGTGTAATGTTTACGTATATTAAAAATGTCGTGTTAATCTCGCCCTGGACTATGAATTAATATTTTGTTAGATTAAAAATTGTGGTAGTAATTAAATTAGTAAAAGATTTGAAGGAAAAAAATCCATGTGATTATGGATAAAGCCCAAGACAACAATGTAATATGTTATCAATATGATATAAATACGTCATTCATGCGAGGCCAACGCAACGCAAGGACCGTAGTCAAAATGGCTGCTTTCAACTTAATTTTTTAGTAAAAATCAAAAACTTTCAACAGCAGTTGAAAAGTTTTGCCTAAATCATAAAGGTCGATAGTCCAACCATCACCGAGTAATATTCATCGAAAATTGTGAACTTACATTGGGTGTCCTCACTGGTTTTTCGATGATTGGTTGACAAAGGATAGACCAATGGCCGGTGTCACTGATCACATGAACGTTGTAGATTGGTTCGGAACATTACCACTCCCAAAGAAGCGCGGCTGCTCTACTATCCAATACTCTTTCTCGTAATTAAAACATTGTCTATGGTTATGTAGGGATACCATTTTATTATTTTTCTAACAAAAAAAAATTGTGATTCAAAGATTAATAGCGATGTGAATATGTTAATATTTTGTGTAATCGATTAAAATACTATTTACTATTAGCTATAGCTATAAGTGTTTCAACCTGAATTAAAATTAAGAAAAATTGAATTAAGAAATATATTTTTTTATTATTCGAAATAATGAAATGCTTAAGTATTATAATAAATTCTTAAAAACAAATTTATGGTATATTTTGGTTTTCTTTAGGAATCTACACTTTAACTAGCCATAAAGTATTAAATATTCCTTTGGCTTTTCTGTGTAATCTGTGTCTATATCACCATTGAACCATAGACATTTATTATACAAAACGACGCTTAACTTTTGGAAATTATATTGTGTTCCTAATTTTTCCTAATTTTACATGTTTTAAACGAATGTTAAAAGAAATTGGACGGCTAACGTAAAATGCATTCATCAATATCAGACGATTTAAATAGAGAGCACTTGGCATTAGAAGCTGCAAAGTGTTTGAGTAGGTTATTTTAAAATTCGAAGTTTAGATTTCAATTGTTAACCCTTGATGACAATATTAACTTTATTTTATTTCAGAGAACATTTCACAAAATAATAAAAACGTGAGTGATTTACATAAGGAATTACTTGAGCTAAATTTGTCAATAAAAACATACATCGAAGAGAGCAAGATTCGTATGAAAGATATTCGGCTAGAATTAGCTAGCAAAGCGAAGAGTTCTACCAAAGTTGTGGACATACTTTCAAGAAATTGTAAGTTATAGATAGATTTGTGTTTATTTGAAATTTTGTCGTCATTATGAAATACATAATGTAAATTGTAACTTTCATTTTAATAAGTATTTGAACTTTGATATTAATTATTGATTACTTTATTTTTACAGAGTAAAATATGTCACAGTTACCAGGTACTTCCCGAAAAAATAAAACTAAAAAACTTACAATAATACCAATAAAAGAAGACAATAATAACATTGACTCAAAATATTCCAAAAGACAAAGTGCACGGACATTTATAGCATGGTATAAACAAATGATTGATGATGATCGCCAAAACTTAGCTTTATATTTGTCAGATGATGCCACATTGGAATGGTTTGGACGGACAATAAAAAGCAGAAAGAAAGTGACAGCATTCCTTCGATATGATATGCAAAACTCAAGACATGACTTTACTACTGTAGATACCATAGAGTGCTTTCCACCTAGAAATGAAAGGTTATCAAGGTTTGTATTTAACACAATCAATTAAGTCTTTATAATTTACTAAAAATAAAAAATTGCTTTACTAAATTATTAGTTTTCTTTCCTAAAATATTTGCAGTATTTAAACTTTTACATTTGTATTACATTTTGATCACAGACATATGCATATTTTAATAGAAATAAATCATACCCTTCTACACCTGTTATACATTAAAATTAATTATTACAACATCCTAAATCGTCTATTAAGTTGTGACTGTTTCCTTTCCAATAGGATATTAATTTATAGATTGTGTTTATGTTTTTTGCTTGTTAAATTAAATAATTTGATTTTTATAATTTTTGCTTAAATGTATCTGTCAGACTATTAAATGTATTTTAAATGCTTTCATTTACAAATATGGCTTATGTAAGGCAGTAATTAATCACTATACAATAAGGTGTTACTGTATGAAAATTTGTCATACAACTGAATACCTTTTCAGGAAGGATGATGCAACACAAATTAATCCACTCAATTCTCCTGAAATATGTGACATAGGGCCAGAGAGACGGAGCAGAAAGAGATTGTTAAAGTCCAGTTGCCATAGCCCACAATGGGCAGAGAGTTGTGGACCTGAGAATGAATACAAAGGTACTGATAGGAAAAGGCTAAAAGGACACATTCAAACACTATGTAATGATAGTAAAATAGATGTTAAGTTAAGTAATGGAGAAAAAACTTCCTCGGAGAATTTGCATTCTGATAAGGGTTCAGATGTTACTAACAAAGGTGATTGTGCATCAGGCAAGAGATCAATAAAACGGAAATGTTGTACAGTGACTCCTCCGAATGTTGAGGTTGGTCAAGGCGATTGCCTTCCGTCCACTAGTGGCACAGATTCGGACAGATCACATGAAACCCTTAATGCCCAATTACCTAAGTTAGCAGTTGAGTGCAACGGTTATGTAGAGTTCACTAGAACTAGAAATAATCGTAGTGTAGACTCTGTTAAGTGGGAAAGAAAGTGTAAAGTTCAAATATCTTATTCTGAAGACCCTCTTAATGTTGGGGAGTATATAATATGGAGTATACGCTATCATGATGAAAGTAAATGTAGAAGAAATCTTTTGGCAGCATTCGAAGAAGTCGCCAAAGAGGAGGAGCTAAAGAAAATGTAGTATTGTATGTGTTTTAAGTTCATGTCCAATTTGTAAAATATAGGAATTAAAAATGTATGTTTATACCTATTATTAGGGAATAAGTTTTGACTATTATTTGATTTACTTAAACTACATATTTTATATGCTTGCATTGTATCTTGACTGACTCTGCAAACTCTGCATATTTCATTCTATTGCAGTGCCTTTTAAAACCATGTGATATAGCAATAGCAAATTTTTACTAAATATATGATATATTAGACATTGTCTATGTAGATTTATGTTTTATTGTTATGACTATGACAGTACCTATGGGTATTATGGAATTTATAGTAAAACTATGTATTATATTATATAGTAAGTTCAGAGTACATGAAAATTGGAGATATATTTTATTGGAGATATTAAGCACACCAATGTAATTGTGAAAAAAACATTTAGTTAATAGCAAATTCTTCAGTTGTATCTCTTTTTGAATCTTAATAGATTTACCTGTAAATTGAATATTTTTAATTGACTTGTGAAATTAATGTAAAATATAAAATCTTTATTAATTAATTGTAAAACATATATCTTTGAGTTCAAAACCTAAATTTTTTGGAATGTATTTGTCATGTCTGAAGAAAAATAGTTTCTTATTTATTCATGAAGACTTTTAAAACTAAATTGCACATTAAAAATATACAGTGTGTCTTTACAATTGCGACAATAAATGAACGCACATATAGGGGATAACTTTTTAAAAACATTTACATTCTTTAAACATCAATATTTACAGAGTTATTAAATTTTCCAAAACAAAGAATTTTAGAACACCCTTATGTATAAAACTGTAACGTAAAGTTCTTTTGTAAAGGTCACATAGCATATGAATGGGTTGAATGAATTTATAAGAGACAAAACATATTGTTAGAAGGAGAGGCTTGTAATGCGACGTTGTGGCGCGAGTCGTATAGGATGTTACAAATTTTGTTTCTTTTTTACTTAATTAGTTTGTTTGATAAATATTTTTTTTTAATTATGGATTTTGCTTAAAGATAATATTTTTTTATGATAATTGGCAAGTAGCGTTAGACGTGTGTTCATTTATTGTCGCGATGGTAACGACACGCTGTATATTAGAAACTGTCCATGAGTCATTAAATACTTGAATACAGTTTAAAACTGATATGCGGAGTTTTGTATTTTAAATTCTTTTTGTATTTCCACAATGGCATATTAATATTTAATGTGCATATGAAATGTCTCAATGTTGATGATACTTAAAATGTATAAAATGGAAGCAATACATTTTTAAATTCATTTAAGTAATGAGCTTAAACACAATGCACTACCCTTTTCTTGTTCATTTACAAGAGATGACTGTCTGTTTGTACAGTTCATTATGGCTGCCAATACACATTAGCTATGATAATAGGTATTAACAATTATTTGAATATTATGCATTGTCTGCAAAATATGAGAATACTTTGAACTTATTTTTTAAATAAAATATTATCATAGTAATGGTACATACATTACTAAGATAGTATTTTATTTAAAAACTTAGCTTACAATGGATGTAGTTTTAGATTTTACTGGTCCATAATATAGTCGTCCATAATGTAGTACCATAAATATTAGTCATTCCTTTGTTTTACAAGAATGTCATGAAGAATCATCAGAATCATCCATGAAGTTCTGGTTGCCTTTTAGGTTTTCTAGTTTCATTAGATAAATACTCATAAAGCCATTCCATTGCATGTCCTTCATTTATATGTAACATTAAAATTATTTTTTTTTCTACAGTTGATGCTGATAATGTAAAACATAACTTTTTTAAATAGGCCGAAACACGACATTTAAAATTTGCTACTTGTTTCTACTTGTACCTACAATAGTTTTTATATGTTGTAATACCATGCAATAAGAATAGTTAAAAAACTGTATTCCAATGAAATAATTATTTAATTATAGAAGTTTATTATAATAATACAAGAAAGATAATATGTTTTTCATCTCATGATTTTATCTTTAGATTGATATTTCATTACTCAAAGAAAATTATGAAATGTAAGGTTATTATGGAATGCTTGATTACTAATGGAGTGCATTTGTAAGTTAATAATAAAATTTATTTCATGAATGGAATTTTTCAACACATCTTGTAAGATTCTAATTATGTTAATTGCTTTAGGTTTATCTTGTTATTACAAACATTGCTTTAGAAGTGATGAAAGTAGGTCGATTTTGTTTAATGATGTCATTAAATATTGTTTAGACAACAACCTCTGTATTTTAATAGATTTTGCCCCCTGATTTCCTTTATTCTACAGCGTGTCGTTACAACGGCGACTATAAATGAACCCGCATATAGAGGATAACTTTTTAAAATTGTATTAAGCATTTACATTTTTTAAACATCAATATTTACCGAGTTATTAAATTTACAAAACAAACATTTTTAGAAAACCCTTACGTATAAAACTGTAACGTAAAATTCATTTGTAAAGGTCACAAAGCATATGAATGGGTTGAATGAATTTAAAAGAGACAAAACATACTGTTAGAAGGAGAGGCTTGTAATGCGATGCTGTGGCAACGAATGAAAAAGTCTCTGAATGTATGAATCAGTCCAAAGAGTGCTTTTGAATTTATTTTACTAATATTTTACATAATTAATTATAATATAATTTATTTTACTGAATCAGTTAGTTGTATAGGTGTTACAAATTGTATATCTTTTTCTATTTAATTAGTTTAAAAATATATCTTTTTAAATTATGGATTTTTTAACGTTTTATATTATTTTATGATTATTGGCAAGTAGCGTTAGACGTGTTCATTTATTGTCGCGGTTGTAACGATTGTACATGTACTTACAATGAATGAAAAAAAGTGACAGGCATTTTAAAAGTAAAGTAAAGTAACAGCCTATACATGTCCCACTGCTGGGCAAAGGCCTCCTCTATATAGAGGGTATCAGGGCATAGTCCACCACGCGGCCCCACTGCGGATTGGCGGACTTCACATATCTTCGAAATATTTTTTTTTGTTATTATTTCGAAAATATGCAGGTTTCCTCACGATGTTTTCCTTCACCGCGGAGCACGTGATAAGACAGCACTTAAAGTTAAAAACTTCATTGGTGCCGGCACCGGGGATCGAACTCAGGTTGCTCGAGTATATTGAATTAAAGGCGAGCGCCCGGACACTGAGCTATCACAGGCATTTTACTATCGTCTCAATAGCCACGGGCAGGCTCGTTTGAAAAATACCACGGCCTCACAAAAGACCGATGTAAAGCGAAAATTACGCTTTGCGTTTCGTATTGTGAGTGAGCTAGCTCAAATTGTTTAAAGTTGGTAATGCACCTGACACACAAAAGGAGTTGCAGATGTCGGTAACCAGCTTCTCACAAAAAAATTCATAGCGTCAATTAAACTTGTACGAAGGTATCACAGGTTCTGCGACTGAGAAGCTCTATGTGACACAGTGTCCGGATTAAAAGTATAATTTCATCCATTACTCGATACAGACCAAGAGTACATAGATGGAGCAAAGGCTTAAGTGATAACCAGCCAACTGCCGTTGTGCTTTGATTCTTTTGATGATGGACAAATTTGTATGACCTGCAAATAGCTGTACTAGGCCTGGCTGTTACTGTTATATAAAAAAATTTATTAATATAAAAAATTTATTATTATATTAAAAAAAATTAAATAAAATTTCATAGATATTGTATTGTAATCAAATATTATATTTGTTCTAAACTCAATACACTTATAAATACATAAAAGAAAAATGAATGTAACATAAGTTGTAAAAATATCAAGTTATTTCTCATCTTTAACATTTAGAATATAAGAAAAAACCATTCCCTGTTAAAATTAGGAATCCTATTAATCGTTATTTCACAAATGTTTTATCAGTCCATTCTTCAGTGTGTTATTAATTTTATAATTTACTGGGCTAGTGTTAAATATATACAAAGAAAATTTTGTAATCAATTTACTTCTATAAAGATCAATATTAGTGTGTATTGAGCAAGGATACAAACAGCAGTCAGATCTACTTGTGGCACCATTCATGGCTAATAAATCTTAATACATAATATCACCTAATCCTAGTAAACACTAACAGTCATATAATTGTCACTTAAGCAGAAGACATTATAAAAAATTATAAGTATTATTAGTGTTCTTTTTAATAAACTACACTTGTGATCAAAGGGAAACTTAGTATAAAGTGATCCTTTCCATGCTTTCGAGTTTATGATACCACTCACAAATCCAATGACCACTGACAGGGTTTAAATTCTATAGTTAGAAATTTTAATTCTGGATAAGTACTAATTGAAATTTCTGAGTGTAGTCATTAGTCTAAAGATAACATAAAAGAATTGGAAAGATATAATGTGACCATTCACCAGTTCAAGTTCGTTCGCAGTTTAGACACAATTTCAAATAAAAAAAAAAAAAAAAAAAAAAAAAAAAAATTTCAAATATAATTTCACTTATTTCTTTTAAGAAAATCAGTAAAAATTACTTGCATTTAAACTCCTATGATGAAACACTTCAAATAAACACATTATAAGCAAATTTTAAATATGATGTTGATTCTAGCTTTAAAAACTAGGGAATAGTCAAAATATTTTTTTAGGAAAATTATAAATTCAATTTAGTTTTGGGTTTTTAATGCCAGGCTGCTCCAATTATGATTAAGTTGCAAACACACCGCAAGTAGCATTATATTTGTGATATAATTATGAAAGTTTACCTTGTGTAGGTATTATCCCTCTCAAAAATTTTTATTGCAATGATAACCCCCACAAAATTGTGATGAAAAAAAAATTATTATTAACTATCACCAATAAAATGCCTTCACATTGTACATGTAAACTTTTCTCAATACAAACAATTACCTAATTGTCTAATAATATGTTATATAGATGCCTGTGTACAGTTTCTTTTGTTTTCTATTTTCAATACAACACAGTTTATAAATTCATCTCATTGCTTTATCTGAAATTATTTTATTTTATGATTTAAGCTTTATTACTCCAAGGCAAAGTTTATCTTTTAATCAAAGGGTTATTTCAAATTTCTGGTAAACTTTTTTCATAATAAATTTTATCTTTTTTAATTTTATTTTGTAAAAGTATACTCATGTACAATGTCACTTCGACAAATAACTATGAACTAAAATGTTTATGCCTGAAAAGTACACATATAATAAAAATAAAAGATCAACTAGTGTAGCACCTCAGAGTACAATATTAGGTTTCTGTAGTAACTCTTATGCCCAGTTTCTGCAACACTGACCATCGTAGATATTAGCCATTTTACATCTGATTAGTGTCCACTAATCAGATGTAAAATGGCTTTTCAAATTTCATTTAAGTTGCCAAATGATGGTTAAACTAATTGGTTAAATTCACTAGAATGATAAATTCAAAGTATTCTACGATGATCAGTGTTTCAGAAACCGGGTGTTAATAATGTAAATATATGAGTGAAGAATATAACTGTTGGCACACCAAATAAATGTAAATTAGTATCAAAATTATATTGAAAAAATTTATAAGATTGTTTTGTGTTTAATTTTTTTTAAAGATATTATCACACAGCACTAAGGATACCAGTTTTCGGTAATTTAGTGTTGTTCATACTTGTTGGTCAAAATCATTTCCATCATTTAATGCATTGGGGTCTTCAATTTCCTCTTTAGCATCATTTTCCAACACAGGATCATTGATGGGATTGTGTACATTTAATGCTGGGCTTAATTTAGGTGGTAGAGCTGCTGGGGTAACCTTTGATGGCACAGATGGATTTGGAGCACTTTTAGTAGTCAGCGCAGACTTCAAACGTAAAATTTCCTTTTCCAACTCTTCAATCTTTTCTTTTCTCTCTACTAACTGAGTGGTGAGTGTGTCCTTTTCCAATCTCAAAGTCTCTAATGTTGCCGATTTACTTAACTGAAGATTTTTCAAACTTTGAAGTTCAGTTTTGCAAAAATCGAGATCTACTAATGTACTATTAACTTTACTTTCGGTTTTAGACGCTTTAACGATATGCTCCGCAATCTGTTCATTTATTTTCACGTTTTCTTTTTCTAAGTCATTCACTTTTGTTTTATAAGCGTCCCGTTGAGCACGAAGATTCATAGATTGTTCCATGAATGATGTTTGTACCTTCGAACACTCCTGTAATTGAGTACTTATTTGACCGACTCTGTTTTGTAATTCGGTCTCTATACTCCAGTTATTAAAAAGTGAAAGGGTGAGTAAAATGCACACAGCAAATACGACGTACATTGGCCAGCGGCGCATGTTTTCTATGCCCATATTAAACTTAACAGAAATAAGTATATTTATTTAGCCAACAATCTCTAAAGTCGGTATTTTTAGAACGCAATCGTACTAATAGTCGTTTTTTATGAATTAATATCACGATGACAGCTACCTATCTGCCGTCAACGTAACAATAACAGTATGTACTGTTAACAGTAACAACTAAAATGTGTAAAGAGTATAAAACCATTATATATTCAATAATATATTACTAAAATATAATTTAATTTTAATATTTGTCTCAATTTTGACAAATTTAAAGTAAATAACCAAATTAACAGCCTATAAATATGTATGTCCCGCTGCTGGGTAAAAGCTTCCTCTGTACAAGCTGAGATAGTGAGACGTGAGTGCCATAGCCATAGATGGGTCATACTTTAGTTTCACACACCAGTCACCACGCGACCCCAAAACTGATTAGCAGACTTTACAATTTACAAACCTTCGAAATTTTATTTTTAAATATGTACGTGATGAGCCAGTACTTAAAATTGTAATCAGTACGAGTATATTGAATTAAAAGTGAGGGCCAGTGCCTGGGTGCTCACTTGATTCACCGTGATAGTTCAGTAGCTAGACAAATTAAGTAATTATTATTTGTATTAACGGCAATATAACAATAATTTGAAATAACCAGCTGATAGTACATAAGCCATTTGTGCACGCGGCTTTTTAGTTCATCGTCGCTCTGATAACTCCCTGAGCTCTGAAGAACGTGTGTAAGGAAGTAGACCCGTAGAGTTGTCACCTTATAATAAAATGGGTACCGGCTAACTGACTAAATTCTGAAAAGTATTACACTCCCACTTCAAAGCATTAAATGCTTTGAATAAATAAAATTTTCTTATTGACATTGGCGAACCTCTATTAGGTCCATAATTCTGCACAACACTTGATACAGCTACAAATTATTCAAATCAGATTCTTCGTCAGAAAACTGAGAACATGTAGTAAATGTGAAAGAAGGTCTGTTGATCTATTGATCAATTTTTTGCCCGTTCTTCTCTGGACAGTTGTAAATAAGTGAATTGGTGGTAGTTGTTTGAAATTCAATATGAGCATAAAACAAGCATGTATTGAATAAAGTTGACAATTTTGACTTTATCTTTAATTATGTCTTGTTCGTTGGTTAAAGAAATAAGCCGGTACTATCTTATTATAAATGTTTTAGATGGGCCCGATGACGAATTGGTGCATGTTTTAAATTACAAAACAACACAATAGAGGCCACAAAAGGTCTATTGCCGAAATACCACCACCGATTATTTTAATTGTATATTGTTTAATCTTCATTGAGTAGTTCTCAAATAAACAAAATATAAACATAAATACTTTTTTAAATTACTGGCAATGAGTGTATTTGGTCACGTGATCTGTATTGTACCATAGGCTAAAATCCTTCATCGACTTCTTTGGTTTATAGCCACGAGGTTTTTAACAATATTTCAATTTTTTAGTGGAATAATAAACATATACTTCATATTCCTAGTACAAAATGCCTCCTAGCAATCCATTACCACCTAAAGAAAATGCCCTTTTTAAAAGAATTTTGGTAAGTTTCGGTGTAAACATAGAATTTTGTTCGAGTGGCTTGTCATTCTCGGCTTATAATTCGAAATAAAAAATAATGTATTTCATATATATAAACTTTAAATAAAGCCAATGTAGGCCAACTTGCGTATATGCTAATGGGATATTTTTGCCGCTCAAATAAGTGTGTTCACAAAAAATAACAATAATTATAAATCGGCCTTGCACTATTTGGGTGCATCTAATAATAAATATAGGTTAACAATTTATTTTTTTTCCAGAGATGCTATGAACATAAACAATACAAAAATGGGTTGAAATTCGCGAAGCAAATACTGTCTAATCCAAAATTTGCGGAGCATGGAGGTGAGGTGATGATATTATAAAAAATCGTTATAAATTTTAAAGAGTAATCTAAAAATATGCCTTTAATTTTTTTAGAAACGTTAGCAATGAAAGGATTGACATTAAATTGTCTTGGTCGCAAGGAAGAAGCGTACGACTATGTACGTCGTGGTCTACGTAATGACCTGAAGTCTCCTGTGTGCTGGCATGTGTATGGATTACTCCAGCGATCGGATAAAAAGTATGATGAGGCTATCAAATGTTACCGTAATGCACTCAAGTGGGAAAAGGAGAATATACAAATACTCCGTGATTTGTCATTGCTGCAAATTCAGATGAGGGATTTAGAAGGATATAAAGTAAGTATATTGATATATATCCTTTGAGTAACAGACACAAGCATAACATAGCAATCTAATTTGAGTACCATTCTGGTAGAGAATATCTTTCATATTAAATTAAAAGGTATCTTTTTTCTGTCATAGTTATGTATACATGTATATCAATAATTTCCCATGTCATACTGATAATGGTACTAAAATCTAAGTAAGTCAAATTTAACATAATTTTTTTTAGGAGTATAAGTGATATAAAAGAATCAGAGTAAATTCATACTACTGAGTTTAGAGCATGAACAAAATTGTTCAGCCTATACCCTGAAAATACACATTATATTAGATGTGTCTTAGGTGTCATGTTAATTTCTTAATTCATTTATAAGGAACTTTTAACATAGGTATTACCGACACACATATATGACCTGTTATAGATTCCTTGACAGGTATACAATAACATTTTATTCTTGACATTTTTATTTAAAAATGAAGTAGTAAAGTAAAAAAAGTTAATTTAAGCAATACAAGACTTTCTAAAAAAAATCTGGTTCAAATAAGGTAATTCCTTAATGTGCACTAAAATATGTCGTTAATTAAACAGTTTATCGGTATAAAAAAATTATCAGTTCAACAGTGTGTCAAAGGTTAAGCAAAACTATTCTGCGAGGAAATGCAGCCAGCATACTGGGCACCATGCTGTGTGGACTAGGGTTATTAGATAATATATAATTAAGTTAGATTTAGTGTAGTAAATATTGTTTATATAACTTACATATTGTTATAAATAAATATATAATTAACTATTAATGAAATGTTTGCATGCAGTACTGTATTCAAATAATTATTTTTTTTCACCAAATGTTAGACATCGTTTTCATTCATATTTTTTGAATCCTGAAATATGTTTTTATTGATGTAATCAATAAAAGGGAATTCAATAATGCGAATATTAAATAAAATACTTTTCTCTATCGCATAAGCTGCTAAGTAAATAATGTAAATATTTTATATATAATTAATTATGACATACTTTATGGGATACTGTAACTATTTTTATAATTAATTCTAATGTAATTGTATATAATTAGATTTAATTTAGATATAAAATTTTGCATATACCACAAAAAATATTATTTTTTAGGACACAAGATATCAGTTATTTATGCTGAGACCAACACAAAGAGCATCTTGGATTGGGTTTGCTATGAGTTATCATCTCCTTGGTGACTATGAAATGGCAAACAGCATCCTAGATGCATACCGCACTAATCAAATGAAGGGACCATATGATTATGAGCACTCAGAATTATTGTTATATCAGAATATGGTGTTGGCAGAATCAGGGCAATATGAGAGAGCCTTACAACATTTACAGAAGTTCCAAAGTCAAATTCTTGATAAGTTATCCATCAAAGAAACATCTGGTGAATATTATTTGAAACTCAAGAGGTTGGTTACTGTTTTAGTTTAACCTTATAAGTCACAAGTAGAAAATAAATTGAAATTTTGATGACAACTGATTTCATATTACGGTTTATTGTTTTATGAAATGGTTGAGAAAGAAAAGTTAGCAATTATGTCAAAACATGCTAGGAATATTATTTATCTATTTCTTTTAATAAAGTTGAAGTAATATTGTATTGAATAAAATTATTTAATTTTCTAGGTACAAGGAAGCTGAAGGAGTTTATGAGGACTTGTTAAAGAGAAACCCTGAAAAATTTATGTATTATCACAAACTTATTGAAGCTAAGCAACTTAATCACGCTGATGAAAAAGTGGCCTTTTATGATGTTTATAAGTGAGTCACTGCATTTTACATCTTATACCTTTAAACAAGCAATTCTTGTATATATATAAAATCGGAATCTCGGAAACGGCTCCAGTGATTTTCATGAAATTTAGTATGTGCGTCGATTCAGGGGCGAAAAATCGATCTAGCTAGGTTTCACTTTTATAAAATATCCTTTTATCCCTGTTTTCAGGGAACGAAAAATATCACGGTAAATTTCGTAAAAAAAATGTTATAATAGCTCGGTCGGTAATCGGGCGGCCCCGAAACAGAGGGCCGCGGTTCACGTCACGATCATTTACACACTTATTTTTTTTACTTTTTTTATACCAGATCATTGATTATTTTTTATTTTTCTAATTTCCAAAATACACCATTTACCAAAAAAAAGGTCCTCCAGGTACTTAATATTTATATCACTACAGAATTTGATCAAATGCAATAATTTCAACATTTCTGTGAAAAATGTCCAGAATTAGTAATGTAATCTTCTAAGTTATAAACTGGTAGCATAATAGACATGACATGGCCACTTTTGGCTCGACGTTCCTTCGATATGTCCCGACAGGCTTAACTTAGGTAATGTTTACATTATGATAAATTAATTTCAGAAATGAGTTTCCAAAAGCAATTGCACCACGAAGACTGCAATTGGCGGAAGCGCAGGCGCTGCCGGTGTTTGAACGCCTTGTTGATCAGTATCTGAGACATGGTCTGCATAAAGGAATACCTCCCCTATTTGTAGATTTGAGGTTGGTGTTTATAAATAACTAATTATTAAGTGAGTCAGTAATAAAACTATGAAATTGATATACAAAATTCACAAAATAAGTAACTAAAAATTTTTGGTGACTTTTTGTTTAGTTGAAGGAAAAGTTCTACAAATGCTTTATTCTTCTTTGCAGGTCCTTATATGACGATACAAACAAGGCAGACGTAATAGAAAAGCTAGTTTTACAATACATAGAAAATTTATCTAAGTTGGGTACATTTAGTTCGGAGTCAGATGAAGTGAAGCAGCCTGCCAGTGCATTGTTGTGGGCTTATTATTATGCAGCGCAGCACTTTGACCATAAGAAGGACACAGATAGAGCCTTACATTATATAGATGCTGCGATAGAACATACTCCTACACTTATAGAGTTATTCATAGTTAAAGGAAGAATATATAAGGTAGGCATTTCTTTATTACTACATAGAATAAAAAAGTTAAACTTAATTTGGCAGTGAATAAGTATATTGATCCTTACCTTGAGCTGTAACCATTACTTTATAATATTTTATGTTTATGCAATAAGGAGTCCTCTTTTGAGGGTATAGGGCCCTTTTTACAATGTTGCCGGGTGCTGTTATTGTGTACCAATTGTATCCAGGCTTCCCAGTTGTGTGCTTAACCTACATATCAACATAAAATAAGCATTGTGCTAATATGAGCCTTACCAATTCAATATTATGTTTACCTCTGGTTTACAACATTCCATGTTGAATTCTCATTTATAATTTTCTTTAGCAAAGAGATGCCTTATATATCTTTTATTAAAAGCTTTAGGATGCTGGTTTAAGAGATGTAAATATGTTTTCATTTTTGTTTGAATGTCTTCCTCCTGTAAAATATTAAAGTAGTTTATAATGCGTTATGGCCTCCACAAATAATTTCTCTCAAAGTTACTCTGGAGTTTTACTCTTTAGGATACTGTTAGTACAATCTTTTTAATAATTTTATGTATGTATATATGTGCTAAAGGGTGATACTGTTCAACCTAGTTATGTCAGCTAGGATATGCTCTTTCTAATTGCTGTATAAAATATTGAAAACAGCCATTTTAATTAGGAACAACTAACAAATCTAAGTGATATTTGTCATTAACTAAAAGTAAAAAAGAGGAGAGAGTGAGGGTAATAATGTTTGTGTTCTTCAATTGTCAGCACGCTGGGGACCCCGTATCAGCGTACAATTGGCTGGAGGAGGCGCAGGCAATGGACACAGCGGACCGCTACGTAAACAGTAAATGCGCACGTTACATGCTGCGAGCGGGACACGTGAAGCGAGCGGAAGAGATGTGTGCAAAGTTCACTAGGGAAGGTTAGTTAACTTTTAAAAGTATGAATACAAATATATATTTTATCAGCCAGGTAAAGTAAAGTAACAGCCTATACATGTCCCACTGCTGGGCAAAGGCCTCCTCTATATAGAGGGTATCAGGGCATAGTCCACCACGCGGCCCCACTGCGGATTGGCGGACTTCACATATCTTCGAAATATATTTTTTGTTATTATTTCGAAAATATGCAGGTTTCCTCACGATGTTTCCTTCACCGCGGAGCACGTGATAAGTCAGCACTTAAAGTTAAAAACTTCATTGGTGCCGGCACCGGGGATCGAACTCAGGTTGCTCGAGTATATTGAATTAAAGGCGAATGCCCGGACACTGAGCTATCACGGCTCTATGCTCGTGAAATATATTGTCTGTTATCTGCACTTGACTCAGGAAACTTCTGATCAACCATGTTTGAGTGTGTGACTTTCAATTGCTAGTGATGGCATGGGTATTTATTTATTGTCTGTAGTTGAAGTAAATCTAGTCAATTTCCATTATATTAAGATTCCTTGAAAGGCTATTCTATTGGCGGTGTCCAGATAATTTTTTAATAATTATATTAAGGAAGAAAGTTGAGAATAACTTTGACTAATGTTATTAGTAAATGGGATTAGGTAGAATGAGGATAGAGTGTTTCATTTTAATCTAAGTTTACTTGGACCATAATATAAATGGTGTTTAATTTTTTTATTATCAAATATAATTTGTTATCTACTATTTATAGTACTTTGTGCTAATTAGAATAATTATATTTATTTATTTTAATAATTACAGGTGTTCCCGCGACTGAGAATTTGAATGAGATGCAGTGCATGTGGTTCCAGACGGAAGCTGCGGCCGCGTACCAGCGGCTACATCAATGGGGCGAAGCACTAAAGAAGGCTCATGAGGTGGACCGAGTAAGTACTTGTGTAACCAAAACTAACATATTATGAGAATACAATTTGTAGCTCAATTTGTAGTTGTGCAATAAATATTATTTTATAATTTGTGTAAGGTTTCTCAGAATTTTCTAAGAATATTAAGATAGATATTTAGAGATAAATATGTAAAAAAGTAGCTGATGATTGGCCGCATGTCCCACCTTTTTGTGTTGACAAAATTCAAATTCAAATATCTTTGTCCATCATCGGAGCATTACAGTCATTTATTGCCCATCAAAATACTACAACCGGTTCAGAAAAGAAGAGGCACTGACCTAAGAAAAACCAGCGATAGAAACTCAGCTGGCCATTTTTTGGACTATGAGAACATATTTAAATATAATTAAGTCTGATCTGATCTGTCCGAAAGGGCCTGGAGCAATTAATTAATTTCCAGAGTATGTCATACCCGGATATCTAGACCAATGAAAACAAGCTCCCACATATTTCTATTCAAAGCCTTCTTCATAGTGGGAGAGCTTTTGCTTGCCGGATCCCTCAATTCTGAGGATCGTGACTACATGCCGTTCTCTTCCATTGCACGCGGTCGCAAGCGGTGTGAACTGCGCGTTTGGAGTGGATCTTTTACAATGACGGAAATGTTGTATTCCCTCCGCAGCACTTCTCCGAGATAATGGAGGACCAGTTCGACTTCCACTCATACTGCATGCGCAAGATGACCCTCCGCTCGTACGTCGGCCTGCTTCGGCTCGAGGACGTGCTAAGGTCTCACCCCTTCTACTTCCGCTGCGCTTGCGTCGCGATCCAGGTGTACCTCCGCCTGTACACGCATCCCCTCCAGGACATACCGCAGACAACCGAGCCAGATACAGGTTAGTGTTAGTAATTTAGTCATCAAAATCTATTTATCGTATTTGTATATTGTGTGGCCCTTCCACACAATATACAAGTTGGCTAATAAGTCCCATAGACCACTGCAATCTTGAAGATATGTTGTATTCTTCTTTGCTGTAGGATAACATTATCCTGTGTTGTAAGGACGTTTTTACACACATAAATTTCACGTGGACAGACACCCAGATCTGAAACTATTATCTGTGAGTCACAGTAATTGTTTTGTCGTGTATCCAACGCTCAGTGTCGAAGCCAATACTTTGGCAACTGCGCTACAGAGTCATCTAAATCAAAAAATTATGTATAATTTTAAATTTGGTAGCTACTTCTTGAAGTTGTCGATATTTAACTACCTAACCTATCTTGTATCGCGCGGGTCGATCAATTTAAAATATGCTAAGTTACCTAAATTTCCATGTAACAATTTAAGGTAATCCCTAATTATTAAATTTTTCAATATTGAAGTGTGTATTTGTAATGTAAAGTAAATGATGTCATGCACATATAAAAATAGCGCAAAGATTATTCTGTTCTAATTTAATACATGCAACTCTGATGAAGAATTTTTTTCTTCATTGAAATAAATAATTTCTTCGCTCTTGCTCGTCCAATTTTATAATGGGTAGTAGTTTTTCGTAATTCTCTGTTTGTTTCCCTCTTATTATGTATAGGGACGTTGATCTTACTTTTGCTTCGTCATTGAAATAGTTTCTTATCTAATCAAATTGCCGTCTTGACCTAATTGAATGACCCTGAACCTAGAATTCATTAGTAATTGTTTTTACGCCATCTATCGTCAACTCATAAAACTTTTTGTACAAGTATGCTTATCATACCATCTTAGTTCTATGAATGATTCGTAACTTTGAAAAAATTGTTTTTTCAAAAAAAAGAAATTGTTTTTCTCTATTATAAGCAATAATTTGTTTTCATAGTAGAATAATAATCATGATTGACTACTTATACAAAGAGGATACATGTATATCTTAATTGATAACTTTTGTTGCACACCATGAGATGTCGCTGTTAAATTAATGGATTTGTGTCGCCATGCATTACCATTATATTGTATGTGGACTGAAGCTTCGTTCATTACATATTAAATTATTTTCTGTCATTCATGCAACAGAGATATTGCTGTTGTGAATTGTTTTTAACTCTAATTATCATTCGTTCGCTTTGTCACGATGATTTGTATTAACACGTACTTGCAAGTCACTGTTTGAATATAGAATGAAGCGATATTATTTCTGTAAATAGATATATGTTATGGTAATAGTAGTGTCAAGGATATAAATTAATAGTAAAATTATTATAAGTAATCATAAGCTGGAAATATCTAACGGAATTTCTGAAACACCGTAATAGATGCTTAGTAGGAAAATATATATCTATGGGAAATGGGATAGTACGTATATAAATATATGCATAATTACACGGTGGCTTACACTATTTACATAAGTACTTTTACATTTTAAAAATGAGCCTTGTTCGACTATGTCCAAAAGTTATTAAAGTGTATTTAAAGGGCGGATGGCGGATGGCGGATGGATACATTTAGTACAGAGTCCTAAATCATTCTCTATTTAAACAAAGACCTATAAATCAGTTTGGGTTATGGTAAATATCAAGTAAGAACTTTACTTGAGATTTTTGAACGAAATTACTCAATCGATCCTGGCTACTTCGTAAATGTTATATGTACTTATTTACTACGAGCAATTTTTTAAATTAACATATTCAAATGCTATTTCTTTGGGATAGGAATGAAACTCGTTGCTAGTAATAAACATCTCTTTTAATATTACGATTTATTTTCTTTGTATAAGAAATTACAAACAGAAAATCACAATTTACATGTCATTATGATCGTTTACATAACAATAATCATAACAAACATTATAGCTGTCAAGCATAACAATTTCTCCGCTGTCACATCACGCGGTCTAATTCATACAGAATACTGACATACACGAATAAATTAATTATAACTACGCTTGCACCACAATCGCTTAACGAAATAAATTAATAAATATCTTACGAAAGTCATCAGCGTTCATTTTCGCATCGGAACAATGTTCCCACTGGTCCACTGGAAAGTCTCGCGCTGACTGATCAATGTACGCGCGTCGGGCGTTCGTATTTATGGCAAACGGCGGCCGTGGCCGCTCTAGTCTTTACGGACCTTAAACTATTTAGGACACTTAAACGATCACATTTGCGCTTTGTATTTACAACGTTCGCACTCGCGGCTCGGGAGTGTAGACTAGTCTGCCGCGTCGGCATCGGTTTCACCGTCCGTACCCTCTTGACCTGGTCCCGTCGTTTGGGGGCGCCGAAGCCTGCGGCGTGAGGAAGTAGACGTGCGCGCCCTCGCCGGGCAGCCGGTAGGAGACGAACGCCCCCCGCCTCCCCCCGCCGCCCCCCTGCGGTATCCACTCCGCGTCGGGCTCCTCAGTAGGCAGGGGGCGCTTGTAGTTGACGTCCGTGTCGCCACTGAGGCTTGGCGGCGGTGCGTTCAGGTCGTCCAGCTCGGTGCCGTACCGGGCCGCCTTGCTGAAGCCAGGGTCGGCGATGGGCACGAACTCGCTGTCCGGGTTCAACGGCGGCCGCGGGTAGCGGTCGTTGACCAGCGTGTCGTGCAGCAGCGATGGGGGATTCGAAGGTCGCACCAGTTGTGCGCTAGGGTTGCCGGGGACGGGCTCGCTGTTTGGGTTGATCTCGGGTCGCGGCTGGCGGTGGTTCACGAGCGTGTCACCTTCCAGCGACGGCTGGATCGTCGGCCTAGGCGACTGCACGATCTCGTAAGCGTATTGCAGGTTTATGTCGTTGTCCACCGGCGTGCGGACGGCGTCCAGTGGCGGCGTCACCGCCAAACCGTTTACGTCGCGCGTGCCGTCCTCGACTTTCTGACCAAAGATGTCGAACGAGTTCCTTGTGATGTCGTCGAAGTAGCTCTCGTCCTGTTTCGTGTAGTAACCGTTGCTTATCGGGTTCGGCGTGGTGCTCTGGTACCTGACCGGCTGGTGCGCGGCCGCCGGCGGCTTGCCCGTCTGCACCGGTATGTGGTTTCTGTTCTGGTTGGCGTCCCTGCTAGCCAGCGCGTCTTCGTAGTCCTCGTCCCTCGTCCTAGTCTTCGGGTAGTATCTGCTGGACGTTGGCGTCTCCGTAGTCACTTGCGTGTTCTCAACGTAGTACTGCTGGTGATAAGCCGGCGCTACCGATGGTGTGATAGCGTTGAATTCGTTTTCGACGTTGAAAGGCTTGCTGTAGCTAACCATCGGCCTGAACGGTTCGGGGTCAAGCTTCGGCGCGCGGAAGGTCAACTGTTCGGGTCTCGGCTTGGACTGATAGTTGAACTGGTACACCGGTCGCGCGGTGACATGCTTCTGTTTGTTTGTGTTGCGTTGCGCTTGCGCTTTGGGCCTCTTCGTAGTGAAAAAGTCTATCGTCTGCCTGATGTCGGATATTTGCTGGTAGAAGTTCTGCGGATTCTCTTTGGGTTGCTGCACGTAAACAGGCTGCGGGCGCGGCTTCGTTATGCTGAAGTACTCCTGTGTCAGTGTCCTGGGGCCCTGCTTTTGTGGCCACAAGAATAGGCTGTCGGAGTCGTCGATGGCGCCATAAGAGACGTCCACCGCCGGATTGTAGCCGTTCTGAGGAGCGACGCTCTGTTGCTGTGGTGCTGGATTAGCCGGCACAGTCTTGTAATAGTGACGCCCGTCGAAATATGTTTCCGAAGTAGGCGAAGCTTTCGGTTGCTCGTCGTAGAAGTAGAAGGACGCAACGGCGTTCTGGTTCGGCTTTTGCCTGTACACCGGTTGTAGTTTTGTGGCTGGTATGCCATCGTTCTGGGAGTCCGAGTAGTAAGCTCTTAGCGGAACTTGAGTGGACGTTATAATATCGTCATGTACCACGTTCTTCTCTCTACTCTCTGGTATCCTATAAATTACATAGGGATTTTCTGATGTCACTTGCGGTTTTGCGTTGTAATACTGTTCTGGAAAGTCGTATATCACAGAGACTGCCAAAGGTTTTGAAGTGAGCTTAGTTCTCGATTTGTAGACGGGCTTCTCTGTCTTTGGTCTATACGTTACTTCATCTGGTAAATTTTGTACCCTGATTGGGTTTCTGGGCGGTTGTGGGACGACACGCTGTTCTTTTCTGTCTTTTGGCGTGGTTACAATTTCTGTCGGCGGTGGGGTTTGTGACGTGGTAGGCGCCTCAGTTGTTCTAGTCGATTCTGTCGATGTTGGTCTAGTTTTGTACTTACGTCTATACACAACAGATGGTGGTGTTGTTTGTTTTCTAATAGATTTCGGTCTCGAGTAAGTGGTATAGGTTGTATCCGGTCGCCTGGTTTGGACTGGTTCCGTGGTGGTTGTTGTTTCTTCCGGGGCGAAGAAATCGGGTGGTGGTGGCAGTATAATTCCGGGCACCAGCGGTCCCGCGGGTACGCTGTTGTTGTACTCAGAGTGGTAGGAAAAATTGTAAGGCGGCGGATAGTAGATCGAAGGGTCGTCTTCGTCGTACAGGTCTGTTTGGTTTCCCGGTGGTGGTAGGAACGCTGCGCCCGGAGGAAAGCCTTCTGGAAAAGAGCCGTTCATGGATGGGGGGAAGGGGTAGGGTCCTTCGCTCGCATTCCCGGGTAGGAATGGGAACGGAGGATTTGGCGGCGACGCTCCCCCGGCAGTAATGTTTCTCTGATTATCACCCGGGGCGTAGGGCGCTCCCGCTGCGAAGAGGAATGGCGGTGGTGGTAGAGGGCCATCGCCCTCTCCCGTAGGGAAGGGAGGGAAAAGGGACGCGGGGACGCTGCCGTTTGGCGTAAGGAAGACGAGCGGTCCGTTGTCGGAGAGGCGTACCGGAAAGGGCGGTGGTACCTTTGGTTTCTGTGGGAGTTTTACTTGCCTTCTTGGTGCTTCATAGCTATCGATCGGTGGCCAAGGTTTTCGTTCCGTTTCCTTCGTACGCTCTGGGAACGATCCTCCTTTGAGGACTAAAAGGTGATCCTCCGCGAGCCATATCTCGTCTTTCTTCAGCCCTCCAAGGCTTTGGAGATTGTCTTTGGATCTCGTCTCCGTGTTCGGCTCGTAGCTAACGATGCCCGGCCGCTTTGGCGCTCTGGCGAATATTTCGTTCTGTATCAAGCCATACTTTCCCTCGGCCACCTGATCGGACAGTGTTTTCTTCTCTTCGTCGTCCTCTTTCACCTTGCCGGCGTCCTTGCCTTCGCCAGCGCTGGACATGAGCATGCCATCGTCCCAGATGCCCTGGTTCCAGCCCACGTTGCTGCCGCCCGGCTGTTCGGGCGCTAGCACACCGGCGAACTTTCCGCTCTCGGTTTTGCCGTCGTGCGCGATGTAGTTCTTGGATGCGGTGTGCTCCTTGTCGTGTTTGATTTTCATGTGGCCGCCGACGAGCCGTTTGACGGAGCGGTGGGCGGCCGCCGCGTCCGAATCGGGTGGCGGGCCCAGGCTGCGCTGATCTCGTACGAACGAGTCGGGCGGCAACACGTATGTGGGCACGAGTACGCTGGCCTGCGTGGCCCATGCCAGCGCTAGCGTAATCGCCAACGCCGCCCCTCTCACCATCTGAAAGTTTGAAAGACATCTCTTAGCTAAAACGCAATTATCGACTCTACAATTTCACAAGGTGGTTTCAACGCCGCTCTAGGCGCGAATCAATCGATCACTTATCTAAATCGGCGCGCGCCAAGTGAAAGGAGCGACGGGGACAAAGCGCTCGTATTTAGGAACTGGCCGGCCGCGCGCTGACCGCCGCCTTTTATTAAGTCGCGTGGCCGACCGCCTCCGAGCCGGCTGGCATTGAGAGTAAAGCGTTTAATTTGGAAATTAGCGAGTAATGACTGCGAGGCAGGAAGGCCGTTGCGCACCCGCCTCGCTTTTTCCCCGCCAACCCGTTCGACTTTGCCTTGGTTTAGCGCCGCCGCTCTTTTGTCACTGCCGCGTTGGTATGTCGCATTATCTCTCGCCCGTTACCGCCCCAGTGGGCAGAAATCAAATCGGTTTCGAAACGACATCCGTCATCGGTAACTTTCCGCTTCGAATCGGCACGGGCATGTTGACGGAAGACTTTGCCCTTACGGTAGGTATAAATATTCGTCTGTCATACGTGTGAGCAGCGTTCGTACCGGCGACGCGGCTAGCGTGGGCCGGTTGTGTAAAGGCTCGTATTAAAGTCCCGTGCGAATTTGGTCGCGTGTTCATTACGAAACGAGATCAACGGTTCGAAAGTGTTCAACGTTTAAACGTTTCGTATGGAACATTGTCATGTTATGAGAATTTTGTCCGCCGGTTGTGTATAAGCCCGTGAAAGGCGTCTCATTGCCTCGATTTCGGCTTCGATATATCGAGCAGCTCGAGTGGCCGCATTTGTTCTAAGCCGTTGTGATCCGATCGAAAATTGCGCCTTGCCAAAATGTTTCGCGACCAACCCGCTCGCTCACGACCGCCCCTCGGAAATGTTACGAGTGTAATCGGATGTGGCCTTTGGCTTTACGAAATGCGCGGATAAACGTAAAAGTGTAATAGGTTAACGGTTATATCGTACGCAGTTAAGTTTTAGTGGTTCGCTGCGTGTAATATTACTTTCGGGTCGGCGATTTGGCTGTAGTTTATAGTCATGTGATGCATTAATATGCATATGATGTATGATTTTTTGTAAAGTGCTTTGTGTGAACTTTAAAATTTGTTGATATATAGAGTACTTATTTTCCAAATTCAAAAATCGTGACCGTTTAAGTTTCTTTTCATTCTATTGATATGAGTAAATCATACAAAATTATACTGGACTTTACATGATTATGTACACACAATTTACACGTATCGGGTAGTAAATAATCAAATTGAAACAAAACAACGAATCGCGAATGACCCGTTGCAGATCTTTGTAGAGCAAAACGTCAGCGTGGTCGTTTCCGTAATAAATCTCGCGTAAAGTTCGCGCTCTTTGTCGTGTCTATTATAATAAATCGTAAAACTAAGGAGCGGCCGCCCGGTTTAGCGTTCGAGAAGAATGAAAATTATACACGAGCACCATTAGGCACCTGAATCGTTATAGCCGACCTTGATACAGATCGTTACGATTCGTACGACTTTGGTTCGCCGTCGCAACGGGTTGCGCAACAGTTGCACAACTCGACTGCCGTTAACGGGTGTTGGGCTATCGATATTTTTTCGATTGTTATGTTGTCGATGCAACGAACGCACTAGTAGTGCAAACGTCTTCCCTATTGTCTATTGACGCTATGCAAACGAAACTGTTAGTGTTTATTTTACACGAATACTGCGTAGTCAGTTCGATTGACGGTAGCCAGGACCTAATAATGGTTTTTGTCATATGCATTGGGACGTAAAACAACTGTGCGGTGACCATGGCCACTGTAAAGTTCAGCACACAATCTCTCGTCTTAAATTCCGGGCGTGGTTAATAGAATCACTCTTTGTTGTGAAAAGATTATGAAGTACTAGTACGTGAATAATGTCGCGTAGCTCCTAACGTACCGATGCACGCGGCGAACGTTTACGAATTTGACATTTGCACCGGAGCATCCTCTCGTTTCCGATAGCGGTTCACCTTCGCGAAATTAACGAGGATTCGATTTCCCCCCGCCTTGAGTGCGCGACACGTTCCTCGCTATTGTCGTTTGAACGACACTGAACCATTGGTATTAAATGCACTTGAGGTGGTTCTTTAACAATCATTGGTTCGTATTAACACTGGTTTTCGAGTCTTAATTGGCAATCGTGCTGATTAAAGTAGTTCCGATGGTAATTGAAGCGATCGATTAGCCGAGTGAGGTTGGTTAGTTGAACATTGTAAACGAAAAGGATCTATTATACAGTTCAGGGCGAAACGGCTGTAAATACTTTGGCAAGCGATATGCAAATGTACTGTCAACGTTAAGCTTCACAACTTGTACAAGCTGTACCTCCTTTGTTCAGTCGCGGTCACAAAATAGTCTATTAGTTGAAATTCAGACCCTGCCGATCCGTCCCGCAGATGCGTGATAATTTTTAGTGAACGCGAAATGCATTCTCAAATGCGAACTTTCTTCGCTGTCTCCGACGTTGGGAAACCTCCCGACGTATTGTTGCGATTTCGTATTCAATACGCGGCTCTTGACGAGTCGCCAACTTTCCAATGGCCTTTATTTACCGCCGGTCGGTAGGTACGCACCGCCAGGACATTCCGATTTCACGAAGTTATTACGATTACCGAACCGAAATTCAGAAAATCGAGCAGTCGTTGTCCTAAATGAATATTGAGCTAATATTCCTCAACGGTGCCATACAATATTCGTGATAACATTTGGCCTATTAAAGCGGTAGCGAATAACTTTTATGAAATTATCTGAGCAATTACATTCATAGCTTTCTAAATACAAAGAATAGTGCCTGCTTTAGAGTTCAAATACTGCTAGATTTTTAATCTGTTATAATCGATTGGATAATTGACATGATTGATTGAGATGTTAGAATGCTTTGATTGACTCAATTCAACTAATCATATAGTTGCTTATTAAAACCGCGTAATTTTTTTTAAAGTATTAATTATTGGATACTTTCATAATTACAACACTTCACTACAGTGACGGACCCTTTGAGCGAAGATATGTCTTTAGTGACTGTCCTTAGACCTTGGGTATACCGTCTTTGGTACTGTAATATGATAGCCGATGGAAGCGTGCGACGAATTTATATTGATCCTGCTTAACTAGATATTATTTGTGGTGGTTGAAGTAATGTCGAGATTTAGTAATGCTTGGTAACTTTGGATAACCTAAGAATCCCTCGAATTTGAAACTTCACGTGTATAACATAACGACTAGAAATAGGTTTTAAACGTCCCTACGTTATTATTATTAACATTTCTCTAACCGTGCATCAGATAACCTATAAAGTTTCGAACGATCTGATTGATTCAATAGGAAAAGTTTCCTTTTTAATTACATTCCTCCATGCTGCGCCTGTGATTGATTTTTTGATCTCGTTAATTGATCTCTGCTAATGTTTCGTAACATTATAAATTATCGTATTCATCAACCACCATTCGATTCGTCGAATGGTTTGAAGTAAGCTCTAATAGTGTCAGGGCCCAATAATTGTCGCGAATGCAACTGAGGTCAAGGCAAACCCATCGCATACGGTCCGTAACTCGGCTACTTAAGGTCTATAATCTACGGTTTCTAATCTAGGACCATTATAGCTCACTTCAATTTAATTCGCTCTTAACTACATCGTGGAAATCAATGTGAGAATTTCATTCAATGCAGTCACCTCTATGCTACAAAGCTATCTAGCAAATACGAAGCCCGTTGTAATTATGATTTTCACCTTGTGAAATTCCGTTTGTTTCACGATCTCGCAATTGAACCTTACACGTTAAACGGTTTTTCGACGCGTGTCGCTTTTCGAATGCATTTTAATTTTTCGGCTTAGAGTTTTATTTTCGACCTAAACGTTTCGCAAGGCAATATGTACTGAATCGCGTCGCCTATTCTGGTATCGGAGCGCTGTTTCATTCTGCACCGGTATACCAGCTAAGGTCGGCTCGTGAAAAGCGGTCTGATTGTTGTCGTGACCGGTGGCGATGATGTTGGCACGAGCCACGAGGGCCGTTGGCTGTCGAGCTGTTTCTAAGCGACGCCGCGTTCTGCGTGTTGTATTGTCCCCATGGCCCGTGATTTATCATTCCCCCAACCGATCCAAGGTAAATGCAGCTTTCGACTAGTTTCACAAGTTGTTTATTTTAGTTGTTCCATTTGTCATAATTTCAAATTTCATACCACAGATTCCATATGTTTTGAATACTGACCTCCAATATGTAGACTGCACTCTTTTATATACTTTCCTTTTTTTTATAAAAATATTCGTGATGATCGCTATCGACGCTTGTTTTGTTTTTTTTTTTATCTTTATGTAAGCGCTCGCTTTCTTCTCATTGTTTCGACTTTCTTGATTGTTTGTTACGTTGTTCGCGAGCCGGTCACATCTCTCGTTGTATGTAATCTTCCGTATAATGGACTGTTATTCGTTCTTATGTGCGACCGTAATAGCAATTACGCAGTTTCGAAACGTCGCGCGGTTTTCACATGGATCGAACAAAAGCGAAAAGAAATCGTGGGCGTTTTGTTTGCTGGCCTTTTGAACTTTCCACTACTTCTCCGTTGCCATCTTAATTGTACGATGTCACACTTGATGTCGCGGTGTTTGCGAGTGTGTCCGTTTGGGTTAATTAATTGTCTCTATTTATTAACTAAATAACTTCCTAACAAACATTCTTTTTTTGCTGCCATTATATGACCTAAGTGGGGTCGGCACAACATATGAATTGTGTTGTTAATGGAATTGGCTAGGACCAAGATCCGGAACAACTATCTAAGGGTCGCACAAACATTTGTCCCGTGTGGTCCGACGCTTTGCGCCGAATGCATAGCATTTTACCTGCGCCACCCAATTATTATGTAAGTCATGCATTAAAGATTTTGAAATTGACATTTAATGATCTTGTTACAGGTAAGGAGGTAACTTTTATCGTGTGTTGCGAAAGTCGGTAAGTAGATAAGGCTTATGTCGGGCACCGGCACGCGTTCGTAATGAATTCGAGCGCTACATCCATGAGGCAAACGCCAATTAACCGTTCAGATAATCGTCTCTATCAGCAATTTCCATATCGTTCAGTATGAGTCGCTTGTGCAACGCGTTTCAAAAGTTTTCCGCCACTCTGGGCCGCCTTTTGGTGGTTTTCGGAGCGTGGCGGATAGGCAACCTTAGTTTGCGGTCCGGGGTCCTTCGCACGACGCGGAGGAAAGCACAGTATTTTGATGCGCGCAAACCGCGTTGCGTAAAACCTTTTTGAGCAACTGCGTTAACTGACGGTGGGCCCGCGATAAGGCTGTCGCGCATTCAAGGCGACCCTTTCGGACTGTCCTCCAGACTCGTCTGGCGACACGACACGTCCATTGTTCGGCTCTAGCGCGCGCGACAATCTCATCGTTGCCCAACACAAACATTGTGCGCGTGCCGAGAACGTTTTCCCGCTGCCATTTTAGCAGACCGTGCACTCGCCGATAGCGCGTGGGTCCTGCGAGTTTCGTGTGTTTTCTTTTGAAGCGAGAACTCGCTTCTCCTGCCCCGCCACCGCGTCCTAGCCGGATGCGTTTTCTTGTTTACGGACATGCGCAGTGCGGTGACGTAATCGGTGGGCCATCGCGGGACCAGATCTCGCGTAAAAACCGACGGACGCTCCGAGAGCAATATAAATAGTCTCTGTCAAGCGTAGTCACGTTTGAATTAGACGCGATCGAGACCGATACTTGAGGAATTTCGCTCAGTCAAACAACAGTTTTGGCAAAACGCAATTCAAAGACGCAAACATCACGCATAAAATTTCACTTGTACAACGCTAACTTGTGGCTCGGTCTAGAGATTTAATATTTCGCTCCGCTATGTTCCCATAACTGGCGTTTTCACGTCTAATTTAGCAATGCCTACGTCGGCGTCAAAGGCGTACGTTTTTCGGAATCGCCAGTAAATCGGAGCGAGGCCGCGGCCTGTGAACCGCGCGATTATCGCACGAAACTCTCTTTAAGGTCCATTCGAATTCTAGCGTTCCAAATGTTATCACAATATTTCATATGCGTTCCGAACATCAGGCTGTGTGAGCTCTGACGACACGACGGCAGAAATACCGTCCCACGTAAAAACGTTTGCTCTTTAATAGCAGATGTTTTTGCTCGCTGTCCGACCGAAGGAACATCATTATTGTGCATCGTGCCGAGCTTCAAAACTATTTGCTAAGACCCCGATAGATGTATTGCGGTCTCGGGTTCGCCATTGAAGATTATAAAGAATTATTCGAAATCGCTGGATTATAAATGGTATATAAATATTTCGTGATCTGCCGGCATTTGTTTGGTGCTAGATTTCTATCAGACTCCACGTCTAATGTTGATTTCCTGTTCACCGCTAAATCGACTCGCGCGCTTGCCGTATCCTCGTGTGGTTTATTTATTTTCACAAGGACGGAGATCTGTTCGATTAATAAATCGCCTGTCAAACAGATATATGTTTGGATAAGGAAACCGCGGCGATTTCGGTTATAAGTCCGCAAACAGAGCTGTATTTCTAGCGATTGTTATGTCATTTGTGTTAAGATCGATTTCAGATTTTTGCCTCTTTCATCGCTTGCGTCCGAGATACTCGTTATATCGGTCAACTACTTTCTGATAATATATACTAGTTATATTTGTCAACAGCTTACTGATCCGAATATTATTTAACTTGAACCGGCCAATACTTGATTATGTCACCTTTATGGTAAATAGTGAATTGCTGAATATTTTAAATTATAACCGTATACCGCGTTCACAGATGTTCGGTAAACTTGTGCGCTTTGCATGCTTACAAGTTTGCCTGACGTCAAAGCGAATTAGAATTGCGAATCGGCTCTTGTCAATGAAGACTCGACGGCCGCTCAACTAAGAGTACCGGTCCAAGTTAATTAGCATTGTCTACACGTAAGCCTCGGGTCCTCCCGTTATGAGAACATCCTGTGGCATTCCGCGCCAAAGGTCATTATTGCTTACGACTCCTTGACTAAGTGCGCGTGCATCCGCTATTGTGACTAACGCAATTAATTACAAATTGATTTTACAGTGACGTTCCTCCTAGCGCATGCCGGTAAGCCGGTGTGGAAATGTAGATCGTAATGTAAATTTAAACCGCAGCAGTGTTATTAACCGTTCGCGTTCGCGGATTCGATAGATCATTGCGGAATAGGATATTGAATGGGGCATTGAAGTGTTGAGTGCCGATTTTCGTAACGCGCCCGCGCTTGAGTGTCGCGTAGGTTTTGGATTAGCACATTCGCCGGTGTAACGCGAATAATATTTGCGGTGCTCATTACCATCAAGAACATTCCATTATGCTGGGTATTTTAGTTTGCAATAAATGTCGACGGATCGCGGTTTGCTTGCATCGGTGCAATGCATGTGTGCACACTGCTAGAGTTGTGCGACAATAATTCGTGGGCTTTTCGTTCGCGCACTTTTGTTTGTGTTTTCTCACCGACTAGCGTTTCATTACGACGCGTCATTGAATATTGTACCCGAAGGCTGCGCGGGGGCTATGTGAAATTTCGGCTTTATTCTTGTCGCGATAAGAGCATTGTTTCCGTCGAACCTACCCGGCAGGCGTCTAGCCCGTGAGATCTAGGTCGGGTGTCTGAATCGAGGGACAATGTTTCGGCGTAGGTGGAATAAAATGAGGATCTAGACATTTCGTCGGATAATCTTACATTGGACAGATAACGGCTGAGGCTGCGACCGATGCGAGAACACTGTTGAGGGTCTCCCCTTAATTGCACATGTCAGTTCACTTCACACTGTTAATGTCACTCGGGTACCGATTTTCACTGGCACATGGCGGGCGTCCCTCTCCGTGGTCGATGGTGGAGTGGTAACTGATGCTTGTGGCGTTGGACGACAGCACTGGGGCCGCCGCGTCGTTCTGTGGTGGGGTGCACGTGTGTACTGTGGGTTGCGCGGCGCATGAGTGGCCGCGGTGGTAGGGGGCGCCGGCGTAAATAGTCGGACGGTGGGCGCGTGCGCGGCGCCCGACGCACACACAGACGTGTCAGTGTACGATACGAGTGCACACACGCGCGCATTCACGCACACACACACACAGAGCGCTACGCATCGCGCCGATACCAAATCTATCGGAGGACTCTGCATAGCGGATGTCAGTTATTGATGCTGCGCTTAACTTGATGCATAAGTTACGTTTGCCAATTATTTTTGTGTTCATTCGTTTGCGTGTGTGTGAGGGTGTAATGGTTAAGTAATAGCTAAGCTGAATGATTTTATATCTATTTGTTAAACAAAACGTGCGTTACACTCCGGCGAGCGTTGTGATTTTTTTTGTTAAAATAATTCGCGTTCGTATTGTTTAGCGTTTACGATACGGCTTTTTGCGCTATACGTCGATTATATTTAATCGTTTAGGTTAGTGCTCTTACGGGTTGTTTTTTCGTTTGAGGAAATTATTTCTCGTATTCCGAACATAATATGCGAAATGTGTTTTGGCAATATCTAAGGTGTACAACTACCACTCCTATAACCTATAACACCAGAAAAAGTTCCAGATCGCTGAAAGTCGCTGTAGAAAAGGATTTTTTTAAATTTATTTATAAGATGATTTAATAAAATAGGTATAAATACATCATTATTTAAAATTCAATAAACAGCCCTCATGATTAGTCGAGCCCGTACAGAAACTCCGTTCATATACCTACGTTTTTTGACAATTTTTTTTTCTTCATTTTGCTATTAATTCTAAGGTTGTCGAATAAGGTAAAATTAAATAAATGGGATATTGAAAATTAGTTTAATTTTTTAATTCTTATTTCAGTTTTTTTATACGGCAGTCCTTTTAATGAGAATGCTTGAGCTTTAGCACTTAAAGGATATGTATGTATGCCGTAAAATATTATGTGAATAAAAATATTAAAGAGCAAAAAATACTGTGGAAAATGATGTCATGTCCTGTGTATGGCATGTTGATTTGTTGCTTTAATTGATTTTTTAAAGTTATTTCGACAGTTAAAGTAGCGTTTGTTTCTACGTTCTACTTTCTGATCAAACATGTGTCATTTATCAAAAGTCAATGCTTCTTCATTTTACTACGGTTACAAATGCTTTTTGTTTTCAAGACAAATGACTTCTATGGGTCAAGATTATCCTGTATCTACTGTGGTGATCTAGTAGTTGTGACGTAGAGCTATCCCGGTGCGTGTAAGAAGTTTTAGAAGATTTTGACATCTACTCCTATTGGTCACGTTGACTAGTTGACTGTTTATCTAAACTATCAAATCCACTGGTTACCGGTTTTTGTGCAGAATGAGTTGTTCTTTTTTTTGCATATATCTAGGCATATGTTTTTGCACATTGGGTAAGTCTTTTAGCACTTCTCTGAACTGGTCTAAGTTAGTGGACTGGTTATGTAATTTCACGTTTTTGAGAGCTTGTATGCGAAAAGCCTAAATAGATTAGAATATATATTAAAATAGATATTTATACATAGATAAACATACATAGATACATATAAATAAATACTTATACATACATTGATTAAGATACAGATACATAGATTAGGACTTTCATCGAGATGAGCGCGATATTTGGTTCACATATACCCGTCCGTCCATCCGCTCGGTGCGTCCGCGTCCTAAAAACGCGGCGAGACGTGTCATCGACTCCGGCCGCGTCCTCGGAAGGTCGCCGCGCACCGAAACGGGAACCCCGCGCGATTTGCATAACTTTTAGGCTCGCTACACACCGTGCGCTTTTTGGAGATGCTTACGGACTTTTGTACAGCTTTATTTGATCTTGAACTCATCCGTTCAGAGTATGACTAACGACAAACACGAGGTTTGTATCTGGATCTCGCTCTTGCAACGCCTTCACTGTACGGGAAGTTTTCGATTGAGATTTCCAATATTTCGCGGTAAATGTGAAAGGTTTCGAGAAACAGCTTAAGTTGAGTATGGATACTCGACAATAGTAGTAATGGAAACGTTATTGTAAAAACACATTGATTTTTATAGGTGTTTTTAATAATGTACCTATAACACACCAGAGAGTAATTTACAATGAATTCGACGACCCGAATGGCGTAATCGGTTGTGTACCTGCCTTCTGCGCCAGAGGGTGTGGGTTCGATCCCCACTACTGGAAAATTTTGTGTGATGAGCATAGTGTTTTTCCAGTGTCTGGGTGTTTATATGTATAATATGTATTTATTTACAAAAGAAAAGTATGTTTAAGTATGTCTATCAGTTTTCTAGTACCCTTAGTACAAGCGTTGCTTAGTTTGGGACTAGAGAACGTTGTGTAAAAAGAATGTGTCCCAAAATATTTAATTTATTTAATATTTAATGAATGTGCAATGAATATGTATGTCAAAACTGTGTTCTTCATTTTTAGTACTTAGGTAAGACGCAAAATACGTTTTATATACATATTTTATATATATTTCTTGTAGACAAACACCCAGATCCGAAACAATTATTTGTAGGTCTCACAAATAGTTGTGCCGTGTGGGAATCGAACCCACGACACCCGGTGCCGAATCCCCACACCTTGGCACCTTCACCACGGAGTCATCGAATTTACATAACTATGTATCGTTTACCGCGATAATTGTCGGCGGTATGCGAGTGCCCTTTTTCAATTATTATAATAACACTGCTCGTAATCGTTGCCCATCTTACGAACGATCCCGGATCTTTTTTTTTCTACGTTTATAAGAATTCGTTGGTTATGTACTCTGTAGCCCATTTATGCGTGTAGAATTTTTTTACCCCTCAACACTCGCGGTAGGTAAACACGTAAATTGTGCGTTTGCTCCTTTTTATGGTTCCGTACCCAAAAGGTAAAACGAGGCCCTATTACTAAGACTACGCTGTCTGTCCGTCGGTCCGTCCGTCCGTCCGTCCGTCCGTCACCAGGCTGTATCTCATGAGCCGTGATAGTTAGATAGCTGAAATTTTCTAAAAAAATAGAGTAAAAATTTTTTTGCGTTTTTATAGATAATGGTACGGAACCTTTAGGGCCGACTCGCACTAAGCCGGTTTTTCTTTATTTTATTGTGGAATTTTTTAATTTCCATTTTGGCTAATGGTTCGTAATAATCGAACCTGTTGGTTAACAGTTAGATATACTAAGACTACGTCAATTTTTGATTTTATGATATACATGAAGTATACCCAATATTTTGTCTCTCAGTTAAGTCAGTAAAAAACTGATTTCAATAGTACTTGTTGTGGAATATCGCTTTAATTGCCAATCTTTGTAGACTTCACAATATTGTATTTGGGTGTTTTAAGTTGTAGGTCAAAGATCAACCTTTGAACTTGTGTCTCCGTAGAGTTAATCATGGACGAGGAATGTCAGGGATTTTCCTGAGAATGAGTCATTGGGGGATAGTAAATATTTTTGTTATTTATTTCATAACATTTTAAAGCTTAACGCAACTGGTTGGTTTCTATGTTGTTCGCGTTATTTTTAGTATGTTCGCTATTATTAGTAGGCATGTTCAGTAATACCCGTTTATTACTCATTCTTGAAATTTCTTTTACTCTAGTCGTCTTCATTATGGACTTTTCAATATTATATATTTCTAAATTTCCCTTACAAAGTATAACGCCGTTTGTTCTTCATTTTTTTTTTCTAAAAATGTTTTATTCTAATTTAATCCAAAAGGGGAACCTCCCTCTGTTTAAAATAATATTTTGCTCGTCAGTGTAGTGAAAAACCTTTGAACTCGTATTCTCAACAATCGAATCGAATCCGTGATACATGCAACAGTTATAATGAGTCTGGTGTAATAGCTAATAATGTTTTTTAGACCTTAAGTGTTTTATTGTGAACTATTATTTTTTTATCATGATAGCACTTCACATGATTACAAAAGCGACATCTTGGCTTACACCGAGACACGGATGTGGCTGTGTGACAATTAAGGAGTCACGTTTTTCGGGCTGCTCATTTTTCGAATGACGTTATTTCTCATTAGCGTCATTAGAAATGGTAATTTTCCATAATTTCTATGGTAGATAGAGGCGTGTCGTGAAATAGTACATGGAAAAGATGGTTCGCCTGATGTTAACGACATCAACCCTCGTGGTGTTGCAAAGCGGGCTTTCGCAGCATTCGCGTTCGGATTTCGGAGATCGCTAACTTTTTGTCGTTTTCTCGGAAACTTGCTCGCGCCGCGTCCGTACCGCATTCCGCGACGCCGAGGCGGCTCCGATTTGACCGTTTGACCACTCTGTAACACTGCCGACCTTTATACTAACGGTTCTCGATCCGCACGTGGCGCCAACTCGAACGGTTTTTTTATCACTTCGTAGCGCGACCCTCATTCGATATCGCGACTGTCCGTGATGAAGGATTGATTTGATTGGTTGTGGTGACTAGTTTTATTTTTTTGCGTTTTGGCCGTGATTGGTACGGAATGTGGGATTTTAAAAGTTTTTCTTTGCTGCATGTGATTATAAGTTTTGTTTCATACGCCTCTCGGTAAATACGATTGTAGGTAATTTATAGTAGCGATAATTTGTATTTAATGCTTAGTATTTTAACTGTTGAAGTACTTTAGTCTGTAGTTGTAGACAGGTTGGTGGTTTTTAATAAGTAAAAATTATAAAATATGCACTCACACAAAATAATGGAGTATTTTCATTTGTTAGAAAGGTAACAACAGATTATGAAAATATGCTGCAAAGTTTTCTCTGTACGTATTGTAAATTAATGTATGTTTAGTGGAATATTTTACTCATTATTCAGTATTTCACTTGCGAGTTATTTATTCATGTTGCGATCGACACTTGGTAGGGGTTAGGCGTCCGCGAAGGCGCCAGCCTCCGGACCAAATTATATAATCGAAATAAACACGCCGCGGCTTTTTGGGACCGCCACTTTATCGGGCATCGTCTGCCACCCGGATGCCAGGTCGTCGTCGCGTTGCCAGCCGAAATGAGGACGGCTTGTGTACAAATCACAAGTCGTCCTCTCCCAACTAAGGTTGCGTGTGAATCTTTTATCTTTTTGTCCGTACAAGTTACGAGTGCAGTTTTTTTTTATGTGAAAAGTTGTCAAGCGAGCAGGCGGTTTACCCGATGTTATGTGAATACAGCCGCCTATGGACATCCGCAACACCGTGGGCTTGTAGA